TGCGTATAAATCTTGCTAGGTGCACTCGACGATTTAAAAAGAAAATTTAGAAAACTTTCCGTCCCGTCTTGTTTCGAGGAACAAAGTTTACCGACGCTTTCAAAAATAAGATTTACTTCGCGGACCATCGTGATTCATACGAGAAATTTCATTCGAAGTTTATTTGCGGGCGAGACGGCGATACCGCATAAACCAGGCACGAGGTGGCTTTCGTCTCGATTTCGTCTCGCTTTCGAGCGCGAAAAAAATTCGCGTGAAACACGCTTACAGATCGGTGGTCGCGTACGCGTATCATCGAATGTACGCTGGTAAAACGAGTAGAGCCGAAAACCGCGCGTAATATCGACGATCGAGCGGTTATCGGCGCAACGCCACATCGCCGTTTCGTTCCACGTGCTTTCATGAAAGTTCTCGCGTGCGCGCCTCGCACAGTAATCCGCAAACATCTATTCAAATCAGATTCTAATAACCGCGTAATTAATGATATTCATAATTAAATAATTAACGCGTATTAAGGAAGCGTGACTTCGGAGGATACAGATTTTTTGGAGCACGTTTCATTATCGAATATTATTTTTAACGAAGTTACAACCGTCGAATTAAGTCGGTCATTTCGCGTGCAAAAACCTAATACGATCCTTACTCGCTTCGATTCGTTGAAACGAACGTTCGTTATGCTGGTTTCGATGATACTGCTTGTACAATTTTAACGGGATCTCGTGATCGTATCCTTGAGACTAGTGTAATTCGTGGCCGCGAAAAAGACGATTAAGTCACCTCTCGTGGAAACCGTTGTAATTTCTCTTCATCGCGCGATGCGCTGTTAATATCCTACATGTAGGTACCTGTGTCAGCGTTGTCGGAATAAGTAAACCTTTTCCTCGTTATTAGCACAAACTTGTCTACAAGGGTACTAATTTTACGAGCGGTATTTGTAACCGAAGATTCGGTGAATGTTCCGTATGCACCGTGTGTACGTGCATACAAGACACGTATGCAGTCGTATTGAACGTGCCGCAGACAATGACGGTGCGTAGGAAGGTAAACCGGAGCCACGCACTCTGATCACTACTCGACAACAGAGAAAAGAGAAAAGAGAACGAGAAAAAAGGGAAAGAGGGAGTTAAAACGCGTACAGCCATACCTACTACTTGCCAAGCCTCGATGCGCTTATCATGCTATCCGCGCGTGTGCGTCACCGTACAACCACGATGTACACGGTATACAGAAACCGTTCCAAATTGCAAACGATCGTGTCAATAATCCAAATTGCCGGTCGATGCGTTTCGAAAGTAAAGAGACCTTACTGTACATATGTTTCAACATTTTCGGAGCGTTTCGATCGACGACGAAGTCTAGCAATTAAAATGAGACGAGGCGATCAGAGGATTAGGGTACAATTTCAACTTTTGACCAGGATGTATCGAAGCCTAAAGAAAAATTGTTCGAGGGTGCATATTTTGAACAACTATTTAGAAACCAAGTTCGCGTCTCAAAATTACAGACAGGAGAAATGCAACCAAAAAGCATAACCAAAAGAAGTCGTTAAAATTCTCAGGGAAAGTTCACGTAACGAACGACTTGGACCAAGGATAAGAGAAACCGGTTACACACTTGTTAACCACGTGTCTAAGAATACGATGAATCTTTCCGATTTCTACGTCAGATCTTATGAAAAGGCCAGACGTTATCGTTATACTTATCTTTATTATTTGACAATAAGGCAAACGGAATGTTGCTGTTTCATTGCTAGTACCGTTTCACCGTTTTTCTAACGAAAAATTAATCGACCTGTCGGGTTCTGTTCGTTCTTACAAGAAAAAAATCGGTAGTACGCGCGTGGCAATTGGCGTCAGTGTTGCGAATAACCTGGTGCCCGTTTGTCGAGGTGGACTCGAACAAAGGCAACGGCTCCGCTTGGAAAATAATCAATAAGGACAAATGTTGCTACTATACGCGCTAGCTAGCCTAATGTGCGCGTTGACCGTACGATTCTTTCAAAATAATTATATGGTCGCGCGTATCTTGACAATGAATATTAATCATTAATTTCTTTTTTAAACTCAGTGATATGAGCAGCACTTAAATAAATGAAGTGTTAAAACATTGCAAACGTTTTGAATGTTTTTTCAACAATTACACAATCTTTTGAAATAAAGTGTCGAAGTCCTTACTGGTCTTACAGTTTAGAGTGTCAATTATACAACCTCGAATAAAACAACCGCGATTATTATACCGGTATACCGTTAAGAGGGCTACATCAGGTAGTACCGTTGACCTGGAGCCATGTATTCCCGTACTACCGGTGACCCAAAAACAACTCTTATTGTTCAACAATCGAGACAATTATACGTTACGTCCTCTATTTGCATACAAGAGTGTGCTACCCCTCCGACAATTCGCAAGTATGATCCTCGTACGCATGATCCGAACGGCTTTTGAAATTAACGCTTTGAGCACCGTCGATGATTAACAATATTATTTCCTATCCATTATTTTGAAGATATTTCGAACAATGAAAGAAACAAAGTCTTCGACACCGAGGAATATGACTCGCGCCGGCCATCGACGAAGAAACCGTTTCGTGAACTAAGCCGACTCGAATAAAGAACGACACTCTAATACTGTCGAATTACAAAAGAAAGTGGTTACGTTGAATCATAATGTTACCGTCGACAAGGAAATTCTTAACCGTAACGTGTCATTCCGGCTAAGATTCTACCTTCCCACTCATCGATCTTTTACTAACACAAATTCAACGAACAAATTCCGAGAAACGAAATAATGTACAAAGCCTACGTTACGTTATGAACATTAACGCGATTAACGTGAAATTTTCTCACGCCAGAAACGAGGAACTTCTTTCGGCTTCTTCTTTGAAAGATCTTGCTCCACGATGCTAGACAGGATTACGCAACAGGTTACACGGTTCATCGACGGCGAAACAATCTCTGAACGATCAAGATCATCGACCCTTATAAAGTCGATCGAATTTGTCCGTAACACGAATCGTTTTATCCTTCGATGATAAAATTTCGCTCGCGGATGTAAGCTATTTTAAAACTGAAATGAAGAAAGAAACGATCCAATTTTCTATGATTCAATTCCGTGCACAGAGAAAACTGATCAACGCGCAGGGGGCGGCGTGCACTCTATTTAATTGTTAGGCGTTCGTCGTTACGCACTCGACAAACAACGATCAAGAGTTTTCGCAACTCCCTCGTCAATTATTCCTGACACGCATCTTTCTAAAGCTTCGAATGCATACGTTTCATTACAGTCGTTGAACGATTGTTGAGACACGAAGAAACAGTTCTATTATCGATACAACTGTAGCGTTATGAATTTTATAATTGACAGAATGAATTTGACCCGGGCTAAAGTCGTAAATTGTCGTGCTAACAATTATCTGGATTAATTTCCCAACACCTTGCCCACCAACTGTATCGACGGTTTGCGTAAGAAGGATCTAAAGCGCGGGTAGCGTCAAGCTTGGACGAGCAACGTCCAACAACTAACTCGTTAAGGCCGATTCTCGTTTCCGGTGAGTGTGGCAATAGTTTCGAGCATAAAAAAGGACCAAAGACACTATCGCAACCGATCTTTGGGCCAACATTCTTCTCTTGAAAATCCATCAACAAGTGTTGAAAATTTTGAATTCGCAAACAAGTTAACTCGTACATGAAAAATAAAAGACACAAGTATAGTTGAACGTTCGGTTCCGCAGGAAATAGTAAGAAAGTTGATCGACGAACAAGGACTCACCGTCTAGAAGCGACGCGTTGCGGACTGGTCGCCGTGCTGGAAGGTGGACTGGTGGAAGCACCGCCGAAAGAGCTGGAACACGTCGTTGTTCCTGAAGTGATCGTGTCGCTACCGGTGGTCGTCGACAGGACACTGCTTTGTCTCGAAGAAACTTCGCGGCTTCTGGTAGCTTGCGATCGACTTCCTCGAAATTGCCGGCCACCCCTTCGCGGAGACACCGCGTTTGAACCGTGAACGTTCCTGACAGGAGCACTGGATGGCCTGAGCAGGGTGCCGGAAGTACCGTTCGTCTGTGCCGCGAGAATCTCTGGAGCGATCAGAGCGATATCCGGCAAAGAGTTCGGTGCGGACGCGACTGTACCGCTACGGTGATTGTTCGAATCGCTGCTCCGTTGCCGGTCCGTTCCTTCCGGTAGTCTCAGGTGGCGTAAACGTCTCATCGAGGCGCGTACCCAAGAATTAACCAGGGTACCACCGGTGTCGCGCGTTTCGCGATCGATGGCTTCGTTACTCGCGTTGCAACGCGTTGTTTCATCTTGTTCGATGTCGTTTGAATCGGCCAGAGGATCGGAGGTCGACCATCGAGAACCACCGACCACCAGGAGGGACTTCACCGTCCCAGAGACGGACATCGTAGGCGTTCGTCGTTACGCACTCGACAAACAACGATCAAGAGTTTTCGCAACTCCCTCGTCAATTATTCCTGACACGCATCTTTCTAAAGCTTCGAATGCATACGTTTCATTACAGTCGTTGAACGATTGTTGAGACACGAAGAAACAGTTCTATTATCGATACAACTGTAGCGTTATGAATTTTATAATTGACAGAATGAATTTGACCCGGGCTAAAGTCGTAAATTGTCGTGCTAACAATTATCTGGATTAATTTCCCAACACCTTGCCCACCAACTGTATCGACGGTTTGCGTAAGAAGGATCTAAAGCGCGGGTAGCGTCAAGCTTGGACGAGCAACGTCCAACAACTAACTCGTTAAGGCCGATTCTCGTTTCCGGTGAGTGTGGCAATAGTTTCGAGCATAAAAAAGGACCAAAGACACTATCGCAACCGATCTTTGGGCCAACATTCTTCTCTTGAAAATCCATCAACAAGTGTTGAAAATTTTGAATTCGCAAACAAGTTAACTCGTACATGAAAAATAAAAGACACAAGTATAGTTGAACGTTCGGTTCCGCAGGAAATAGTAAGAAAGTTGATCGACGAACAAGGACTCACCGTCTAGAAGCGACGCGTTGCGGACTGGTCGCCGTGCTGGAAGGTGGACTGGTGGAAGCACCGCCGAAAGAGCTGGAACACGTCGTTGTTCCTGAAGTGATCGTGTCGCTACCGGTGGTCGTCGACAGGACACTGCTTTGTCTCGAAGAAACTTCGCGGCTTCTGGTAGCTTGCGATCGACTTCCTCGAAATTGCCGGCCACCCCTTCGCGGAGACACCGCGTTTGAACCGTGAACGTTCCTGACAGGAGCACTGGATGGCCTGAGCAGGGTGCCGGAAGTACCGTTCGTCTGTGCCGCGAGAATCTCTGGAGCGATCAGAGCGATATCCGGCAAAGAGTTCGGTGCGGACGCGACTGTACCGCTACGGTGATTGTTCGAATCGCTGCTCCGTTGCCGGTCCGTTCCTTCCGGTAGTCTCAGGTGGCGTAAACGTCTCATCGAGGCGCGTACCCAAGAATTAACCAGGGTACCACCGGTGTCGCGCGTTTCGCGATCGATGGCTTCGTTACTCGCGTTGCAACGCGTTGTTTCATCTTGTTCGATGTCGTTTGAATCGGCCAGAGGATCGGAGGTCGACCATCGAGAACCACCGACCACCAGGAGGGACTTCACCGTCCCAGAGACGGACATCGCGCCACTGCAACCCGCATCGGTAGCACGATGTTCGCAGCCGCGCCTGCGCCTCGCATTTTCACTGGTGGGGGATGTGCTCCCTCCTCGTTCAAGATTCTCTTGAACCGCGTCAACCGCAACGGGTGCTAACGACTCCGTAGGCCGCGGACACTCTACTTCCTCCAGCCACGACCAGTCTACTTCCGAACACTCTGAACATCCGTCCTCTGGATTTGTGTCCGCATCCTCTCCCGTTGAGCAGCTGCAAAAGACAATCCCGTTTTAATCCTTCACGATCCGCTTATAACGTTAGAGTAACAACTAAGGACGCGAATCCTGCTTTTCGATCATTTTTTTCGTTGTACTTTTCAAATTTCGCGGACTTAGGACTATCGTTACCTCGTGATTTCTTTTACGGTACTCCTAAGCAAAATAGAGCACATAGCATAAATCGTAAAATATCTTTTACACGGATCGACTTATCCGAACGTCCCACGATCGTTAGCGGGAAGAACGGAATAATGTGTCCTAAATAGGCAAGCACGGGTCACGAGGCGAAAGTTCTAAACGAATCCTTTGTTTCTCAGGCGTGGCTGCACGCGCCACTTGGGAGATCCGATTCCAAACCGAGTCGACTGGCATCCACGCTTCTCGCGCGCGACTCGTGGCATTACTTCCGGTTAGCCACGCTCGCCATACTCGTGAGAGATTTGATGCGAAACCGCACGCACCGAAGTATTTCCTACGCGATTCCTTCGGCTTCCACCCGTAATACACATCCGTCCATCTAACTCGAACCGATTCGTCGCTTAAAGAACGTTTACATAATCATTCGCATTTAATTGTTCGAACGATATCGACAAAGAATATTGTTTATTGCACGTTAGAAAGTGACGAGACTATCGAACGGAAACGTCTGACCCTTCACCTTCGTTTCTACTTGTGGGACGGTGATACAGCACACGAGACTCTGCTCGCCCCTTCTACGTGCCCAACGCCATGCCAAACGCGTTTTTATTCTCGTTATCGGAGAAATTGTCTACCCTCTGCGATAAACGGGACGTTAACGTCAACCAGAGCCGCTGGGTTCGACGGTGACGAACGAGAAAACGACAGAAACGAATAACGCATTTTAAAATACAAAGTAGAATGAAAAAACAGTTTCACCGCGCTGAATTCACGGAACAACAACGATTACTCGATGCATTTAGAAACGCGTTATGCGAGCAACGTCGAGTAGCTCTCACCTGGTTACGAGTCTTTCGTAACTGTGTTATTTGTTCGTAAGAAGTATCGTGAACCTGTTACTCAAAAATCGGTACTCGAGACTAATATCATTTGGAATAACGCGCTTGCCGAAGCATTTCACCGCTGATAATTGTTATAACGCGTTTTATCGCGTGCATCCATTTCACAGCAGCGTTCAGCGTTAATAAATTCCTTGATGCCAACTATCGCAGATATATCATGTCGTCCTCGTTCTCTTTCTCCCAGCGACTGCCATTCTTTCGACATCTTTCCATATACAAATTAACGAAGGAATTGAAAACGAATAATTAATAACCGAGAATCGTACCTTAAACTAAAACTGGACCTATGAATACCATTGGAGGAAGCGGATGGTCCTCGATTGTATTCTCTCAAACTGGGAGATCTGGCGAATTGAGAAAACGTATCCTGTGGCAAACTATTGAATGTTGCGCCTTCCGTCCACGATTTACGATGCATGTGTCGAAAAGCTCCTCCTATTTTGTTCGCTTGTTCTTCATGGCGTTGTTTACCGGCAACCTCGTTGTCCACTTCCAATTCATAATCGACGGAAATTGATCTTATCTTTTTTGAAACGTTTTCGCAAGATTTGTTCAAACTTGAAGGCAACTCGAAGGCCGAATTATTGGAGTCCATGTCTTTCCAGCTGAAAGCGCGACGGCGATTCAACAGATCTTCGTCCTCCGTCGTTGATCCATAAGGATCCGTAGGCTCGTCAGGACGATCACGGTTCGTTTCGATCTGATCCTCGCTGTCGTCGTGTTCCGTAAGAAAGTTGAACGCATCGTTGATTTCCTGCGCTTCGAACGTTTCGTCCTCTTGCTTCTCGGAGAAACGGTGACCGTCCTCGCGAGTCGACCCGCTCCCATGGTCGACCGTGTCCTGATGCTCCTCGTTAATATCGGAACAGGTCTTCCTTATAACTGGTTCCAAGTTCCTGGTAATGTCGCGAACCCTTTTTATCGTGTCCGATGAAACCACGTCGATTCTTTTACGAATAGGTACCACTTGATCGTGGCCCAGAGTGACCAATACGTAACCGTTGTCGCTGATGCTCTGCACTTGTTCCTGCTTCCTGGTCAATGACAACGTTTCCTCTAATTTCGGTGGACACACGTCTAGTAGATGCTCCTGTTCGTCGGAAGACGAATCTTGAATCGATACCCTTGGTACGCAAGCATCGTTCCCAAGATCGATCAGATCGCCATCTTCGGTCGAAGTCATTTTGCGACCATCAACGCCTGGAACAAGAGAAAAAAATTAATATTTATTACCGACTGACGAGAGAAAACCGTCCGAGTTTAGATGAAACGGATATAATCTGACTAACATCGTCCCACGAACTAAGTGGGACGAGTACTTTTTCTCTTCAACCGTCTGAACCTGTCCCACATTCACTTGACCCGGGGATGAAAAATGCTCGTCGAAGTTCATTGCGATCGAAACTGACTCCGTGATTAGGATTATTCTCGACAAATTCTGAATTAGTTTTATAAATCAATGGAATCGTCGGTGAATAATCCATGTAATTAAGTCCCGAAATGAATTACTCACTATTTTGAAAATATTGTAGAACATTACGAAGTATCCATATAGTTGTCATAGCCTGCACAGTTTTTGATTAAAATGAAATCAATTAGTTTGGACGGATCGTGCAAAGAAATGTGACGCGAATAGCTAACCGTTGAAGAAAATAAACTGAAGCTTCGCCAACGCGTGTTATATCATTCGTAACTATTAACGACACGGCGCTAAGAACAATTTGCAAATTATTTTTAAAAGAATACATCCGGAAGATCTGCCGCTCGGCGAAAACAATGCGATTGTAATGAAGACTACGCAAATATAAAATCGAAAATGTTAATCTCATTAAAGTAACAGTCGTGAATATTAAACTTTCGATGCATGTATAGTACATCAATAACCTTCCATTTCCAAATAATTCCATTACGATATCAGTTATCGTTAATTAACACGTATTGTGTCGATAACGATCAAAATTGTTATTAGTGTAGTAGATAAAAGATTATCGGTAAGACTCGTAAAATACCATTCGACGATATAGTGGGGTATGAAATATAGCGCGGTCGTAATATCATTCGAACGCAAAAGATAATTCATGCGTCGAAATATAAGTTTCGAGGAGATAAAAAGCTCGAAGCTAGACGATGCAAACTTAAAATTAATTTTTCAGTTGTAATCTGAACAGCCTCGGGGATACGGCCCGTCTACATCGATAAGCTCTTCGTGCTTTAATTTATGACCGAATTATATCTCTGAAGCCAAGTGCAACCTTTCTCGCCTTATTGCGTTGTGATCGGTGAAATTACCTTCGTCACGAATCGAATAGTACATTGAACTTCTAATTTTACTCCAATGAACAAAAAATAAGAGAAATAAAATGAAATCAATTGAACACCTCGCAAAAATAACAGGAATCTGACGAAACAAATGCAATTTTGCTAGAACCCTGAATTGAAACAATGTTTCGTAACGTCGTGTTTTTTGGTCAGTACATTATCAAAGTTGTAGGGAACATGATTCATTCGTTAATTGATTCATTTGCTTCGCCACTTGTGAACAGCGTTTCTGTATTGTTGCCCTTTTAATCGCTCGCTACATATTCCCAGCCCTGTACCAAGCGTACGAATTCCAAGCGAAAAGTTTACCAATTAACGCCGTTTATGTAGATAGTACCACGTCTCGTTATCATTTTTAACCGAATACCCATTGCGTACGATTATTATGTGCGTTTTATTATACATATGTTTACTTTGACCTGAATTAATACGGACGGAGTTAAAATTAATTTCAACTAGAAAATCAAGTCGTTTTGTCGGTGATTAACGCTTTATCTACGGACGTCTCATCTTTTCTCCATTATCACTGTTCGCGGTCACATTTTCGATATACTATAGTCTACACTATGATATAACAAGGTCGTAAATTAAACCCACGTCAAACGACACCTCATTTACAATAAAATCGAAACTCTCAAGATAATATGCTTCGTTCTGTTTTAAGATTTCGTTTTGTTTCGATACATTATACATAAAGAGCCGTGATGGGCAGCTGCGCCTGTGAGGGCGCGATGCACGAACGTGTAAACGGCGTGCATTCACGGGCACCAATAGGTAATAGTTTGCAGGCGCTGTACTCGTTTAGTTGTCAAGAGTGCGGGGATATTCCTAGCTCTAAGATCTCCCGGTACGGCACGGACTGATACTCTACAAAACTTTTTTCCGTACGATCTGCTTCGAACGTACGAGTCCTTGAATTGCTATTTCGACACTCGACTTTCGCAAATTATAGCATCTGAAGGGTTTTACGACCTCGATATATCTTGGCAGAGACCATACGCTTCGAACAATTCAATTCGCTTGCTACAAATGCGTCAATGTTTGATAAGAAACTTTGATGATAAGTAGACGAAGAAAATAGACATAACTTTTTATCGCAAATCTGTGGGTTCCAAAAGTTGTAACTAGAATCGAGTGACTGTCACGGTCAATACTTTAGGACGAGCCCGTTGCCAGCACACTTGTCCAAGTAACAGGTAAACCAGTAACCGGACCTTCTCACTTCTCAGCTGGCTACGGCTCTACATAGCTCATTCGTGAATCACAAACCAGGACAACGCCTCGAGAATATTCCTGCAGGGCTTCAAAACTAATCAACGTCCGAAAAACTAACCGAGTCGAACGGTCTTCGCTTTTCTCATTCAACGTGACTGCATGGGCTCGTTGATTTTCTGCGATAAAAATCTCGAGCTTCCGTTAAACGTTCGTTCGAAGTGCTCGTGAACTCTTCGAAATACTTTACGTTCACTCTCGCGAAAACGATAAACTTCGATTTTTCTACAACTATTTATACGAATGCACGTATTATAATTAAATTCTCAATTGAATTTGTTATTCGACTTAATATTTTTAATCTTTACTGAGAACATTCGTGATGAAACGTTTGAGCGAATAAATAGTCAAAAATCGTGTACCCGTTTCTCGTTTACTTCCTTTTGCTTTCCTTTCTCTTCGCGAACGCGACAAAAATGATGCATAAATGCAAATATATTTAATGCGTGATACATGAGCAGCACACGATGGACATCGATACTCATTTGAAGGTCAACTACTCCTCAATATTTACGATAACTGTTATTTTTAAGATAATTTTGCCGGCTACTTTGATCAAGCATCGAAGCAATGTTAATTTTCCAGAAAAATGTTAAGCAACTTCAACTTAATCGACGAAAACGTAAATGTACTTGATACAATACATACCTTCGTTTCTATGAGGTTTTCAAAAGCGTGTCCGGGAAATCGAAATTCTTGCGCTTCCACTGAAGTTGATCGCGCAAGATCCAACGTTGCAAACAATAACAAACGGTTTCATTTCTTTACGAAATTGTTTTTAAATTAAACGCAAAGCTTGCTTCGCTCATGGCAAAATACGAGAACTGCATATATCTCGTGATCACGTTTCTTGTGTATTCGTCTACGCCATTTTACAGCGTAAAAGTTCATGTATACGGTTCAAACAACTGGAACCGATCGACGTTCTTTAAGATGCAGCAACTCCCTGGAATTCGTGAACCGATCGAGAACGAGCATAACGCCATCTAAAAATATTACAGGCTTGCTTAGCTCAAAGCGCGCCTGTTCAATTACAAAAAAAAAAACGTTAACTCGCCTCTGTTCCGTAGTTATTTTTAACAGATTTATAGATTTGCAAAAATAAACTCGAATGTGTTCCTATCTGTAACTTTAAATTTGCAAATAACTACTTATTACAGTCACAAATCAAGATTCGTATTGGCCAGTCTTTCGAAATGAGTATTTATAATTTGTCGATCTTCAAATTTATTTTGATTATATATACTTATTTTTGGAGGTCTAAACGACAGCTTATTCGTTTTTGTATGCGAATAAAAAATCACTCTTGTCACCGACTGTGTGCGATTCTCTCAAAATAATCTGAGATCCATTTCGCATTTACTTGCTCCGTTATTCTTGGTACTGGTCACGTCGTCACTCGAAAAATCAAACTGTGCACACTCGCGTGATTTCGATAGTACGGTTGCAGCCAACAGTAACCACAGCAAAACATTTGCCGTTGATTTCTGTAATTTTGAACGCCACTATTTATTTCCTTCTTCTTGCACTTTTGTATTTTTCATTTGAATGTTTAAACTTTAAACCAAGTATTTGCTGTAATACGCCACGTAGATGATACGAAACAAGTAATATATACTTTACGGTATCCGCGTAAGGCACGCACTGAGAAAGAACGAACGTCGGCAAGGAGAGCCCGATGCGTGCATTCACCAATTCACTACCGATCTTCGGTACGTCTATGTGTGCGTACCTGCTTGCTTGGCCATCGAAAAGAGAGTATGCAGACCCAATGGCAGAGAGAAAGGGAAGCAAGAGGAAAGAGTCAGCAGAGAGAGGGTGAAAAGGAGTAGGAGAGCTGAAGAGAACAAGCATAGGCGAAAGCGGACACGCAAGCCACAAGATTTGTCGAACAACGACACTTACTAATATCAAAGATTTTCCAATTTTGTTAATACTGTTATTAATAAAATATTTGCTTTGTATATAATGATATTAATGATTATTAATGATATTTATCAATATAACAGATACATATAAATCTATTATACGATAGTTATTATGTATATTCGATAACTGTTAACTATTTTATGGTATTCCTCTGGTATCCAGTACTATGCTAATTGATTTATAACATATGGTAGTGGGTCAAAACATGCAAAAAAATAATATCGTCATTTTTATGAAGAATCTTTATTACTTTTCATCTGAAATTAAATCCTGTAATCGCTTCTCTAATAGATCCGAATCCAGGCGATGTTTGCAAAGAAATTGACCTTCCAAAAAGAGGACTGGAATTTCATATTTATATAATTTAAAGAAACGCTCGTTCTCTGGCGCTGTAATATTAACTTCTTGTAATCGATAACGACCAGAAAAACGTAATACTAATTCGTCTTTTAAAATATCACAAAGCGGACAAGGATATTTTGTGTATAATGTTAATGTCGGTGGAGTAGAAATTGGGTGCCACCTACAGAACAAGAAAAATTGTTTTCGCTTTTTGTTATAACATTATTTATTTTAATTATATAATGTAAAAAAATAATTTGTTTTACAATTTGTATAAAAATATTGTATATTAGGAAAAAAAAAATAATATAAAACATATAACGTCGTAATAGTTAACAAAGTATTACAGCATAACACTGTGCAAAAGTATTTTACGATTACCATTATCCCCCCCTTCCCCCAATTGAGCAGCATATAATAAATGAGTATGCTTCTAGATAAAATTGACTTCCATTAATCGTACACGAACGTGAAACAAAACCTACCTTAATTTTGTCCATAATTTTGAGTATTAAAGATATCTGTTGGTACAAACTTACAACTTTTCAATTAAAATTGAAGAAGCGCCACCGCCACCGTTACAAATAGATGCGACACCTTTTTCCCCGGCCTTCAGAGCATGAATTAAGTGTACGACGATGCGAGCTCCTGACATGCTAAAATTGCGAGTGTTATTAAATTGAACATTATATAAAACACAATAAGTAATTGATTACCCGATAGGATGACCAAGAGATACAGCACCACCATGAGCGTTTACTTTACTAGGATCAAGATCCAAAAGTTTTTGATTTGCAATTACAACTACACTGAAAGCTTCGTTAATCTCCCACAACGTTATATCATTTTTATTAATTCCAGCCTTTTTTAGTAACTGAAAATTAATATATGTATACTTCGGTAAAAATTAAATATCGGATAAGTTTAAACAGTATGAAAAAATTACTTTAGGAATAGCAAAAGATGGTGCAATCGGGAAATCGATCGGATCGGTTGCAGCATCTTCAAATGCGACGATTCGCGCTAGGGGTTTAAGGTCCATTTTCTCAGCAACATTTGTAGTAGTTAAGACTAATGCAGCAGCTCCATCATTTAAGGTTGATGCATTTCCTGCAGTTACTGTGCCATTTTCTTTCTGTAACAAATAAATATGTGGTTATCGTACAAAATTTAAATAGATAATCACTATTAGATTCAAAGTTATACCTGAAAAACAGTATTTAATTTACCAAACTTAGCAAAGTCTACTTTTTTATATTCTTCATCTTCATCAATTATTAGATCAGCCTTGCCTTTCTTTTGTGGTACATTAATAGATATAAGTTCATCTTTGAATATTTTATTTTCATATGATGCTGCACTACGTTTGTAGCTATTAATAGCATACTCATCTTGTTCATTACGAGTAACATTATATTTTTTAGCAGTATTTTCTGCACAATTACCCATGTGGCATTTGTTGTAAACATCAGTCAAACCATCAAATACAATACCATCCTATTGATTTATAACATATAAGAGACTTAAAGTCACAACTAAAATGTTAAAGAAATGTCAAAAGCACAGATATTAAAATATTTTATAAACCTCAAGTTTCATTCCACCATATTTAGTTTCTCCTCGTTGAAGGTAAAATGGTACATTAGACATAGATTCCATACCACCAGCAACTATAATCTCTTGATGTCCACACTGCAAGGACTGAGAGGCAAGCATAATGCTTTTCATTCCACTTGCACATACTTTATTTACTGTTGTACATATGGTTGACTTAGGTAGACCTAATTTAAGAAACCTTTTGTTTTAAATATCAATAACATAATCTACTCATAAAACAAAATAAAAAAATAATATTATAAGAAATAGAACCTGCAAATAATGTAGCTTGTCTTGCTGGTGCTTGTCCCAAGGAAGCTTGACAAACATTTCCCATATACACTTCTGTGACTTGCTCTTTGGAAACTTTTGCACGTTCAACTGCAGCCTGATAAAGTCAATAATTATTAGTTATGCTTATGTTTACTATTAACTTATACAAAAATGAAAAAATTAATACTTGCTTGTATAGCTAATGCACCAAGTTTTGGTGCAGACAAACTTGACAAGCTTCCACGGAATGATCCTATGGGTGATCTGACTGCACTAACTATTACAACATCATTTAATGTTACCTTTGAACTGTAAGATCGTAAGCTGATTACACGTGTCTAAAAAGAAAAAATGTTATACTTATTGAAACTTTAATAACAACATAGAATAAATTACAGGCAAAAAGGAAATATATCTTAGTAAAATTTTACATGAAATTTTCACATGAAAACTTAATTTATAAACATTAATTATTTTTCTTACTTTGAGTATATTTTTTACAATAAACATTTTATAAAATAATTTAATATAACGACCAACAATAACTACTGTACAAAAAAAACACAATCTGTTATAATGAATTAAAATAATAAGTGGTAAATTTCTATAGTTCGTGCCAAATTTTCACTTGTTCGTACCAACGACCTAATCAGTTTGTACTTTATCTCAACATTGAAGCCGTCGCATGCAGATTTGGATCCATGATTCTTTATATTATATTAAATGCTATAACGTAATGTACATGGTTACTATATATTATAATTTATACTAGAATTAAACATTTTTTTAAACTTACTCTTTATTTTTGGCCATTTTCTACTTTATTTCTTTAAAAACTTAAAGAGTATAAGCTCCTTTAACACAGACGATCCTGAAACATCGCGCATGCGTAAAGTTCAAGAAGTGCGCAATTTTTATCGGTAATAAGCAATACATACTTTTTAGTTTATAAGTTGTAATGTGCAATGTAACTGTTTGATATTACATTGAATTATTATGTATTAACTGTACTGTAATAAACATTTCGACGGAAAATGTAATATTCATGTATTCTAGCTTATAAATTGAAATATCTTATAGGAATTTGGTTAAACTTTGTTATATTTGAAAATGAATGTTGAAGAAAATAGATTAAGAACTTTTACCGATTGGCCCACTAATGCTGCAGTTGATGCTGCTCGAATAGCAAAAGCAGGATTTTATTATAGTGGACGTGGATTAGAAGTGCAATGTTTTTTGTGTGGAGTAAAAATTTCTGATTGGAATTATGGTGATCAAGCAATGGTCCGTCACCGATTAGCTGAACCTAGTTGTCCTTTTGTTCAAAATCCTACTAATACTTGCAATGTTCCATTGGTACCAATATCTGCTAATAATTCTGGATTAGCATCATCATCAGCAGATGCACTACAAGATAATAATATAAATGAACTACAATCTGTAAATTTCAATCGGAGCAGTAAACCACAAAAGCAATATAAGACTATGTCACAAAGATTACAAACTTTTAATAATTGGCCAATTTCCTCTATTATATCACCAGAAAAACTTGCTAAAGCTGGATTTTATTACCTTCAACGTGAAGATATGGTAATGTGTTAAAAGAATATAAATGTTAAATAGTATCTATATAACATTTTATGGCAATATAATTCACAGGTTGAATGTGTATACTGTGGAGGTATTTTACAAAAATGGGAACTTGGCGATGATCCGGATAAAGAACATATAATAAATTTTCCTAAATGTGATTTCTATATGCATCAAGATGAAGATGGTATTTATTCAAATATAAACTTGTTTCTTTTTACTCACAACCATTACTTTAATCAAGCTTGTTTCTTATTAGATCAATTAGGAATATCCCTAATTAGGGAATTAGGGATACAAACACATACAGCTCCTAAAAAACCAAATCATGCTACCTATGAAGGAAGATTAAGTACTTTTATTGGGTGGCCAGAAAATCTTAAACAAACACCTGAAATGTTATCTAGTGCAGGATTCTACTATGATGGTGAAAATAATGTTTAATACTAATATTTATTTTATTTGTTAAACATATAAATTCAAATATCAAAACTAATAATTTAAAATCTCAATATTATAATAGGATTTGGGGATCATGTTAGATGTTTCCATTGTGATGGTGGTTTGCGAGATTGGGAAACTACAGATGATGCATGGACTGAACATGCAAAATGGTTTCCTAAATGTGAATTTGTAAATCTTGTGAGGGGTCAAGAATTTATCAAGCAATGCATTAATAGTAGACCACCTTTAGATCCATCAGTAAATATTGTATAATTATGTTAACGTTTCTCGTTTTTAATGTAACCTTATATTATATTTGTTTACATAGATTTTTGAAGGTGTGGCAGAAAATGATGGTACAGATACTGATATAACTGAAACCCCACCTGCTTCGTTACCAACAGTTTTACCAACTACATCAGAAATTACAGAAGCAGCATTGGAAAGATTATTAGATAGCCCACCAGCAACAGTACTATATTATACATTTATTTAATGTTGTTCATGTTTAGAATGTTTTATTGTAATTTTGAATCATATTTTATTTTAGGCAGCTCTAGAAGTTGGATTACATGTAGGCAGAGTAAAAAGAGCTATAAAAAGACGAATGGAAGAAGTTGGAACTCCATACACAAATTCTGATCAACTTATAGAAGATGTGCTTCGTGGCCAAGTTATGGAAGATGATACTAGGTACATCAGTTTTAAAATCATAAATTGATATGAAAATATAATAATTACTTGTCTATTCTTTTAATTCTTTATAGATTACAAACACCTGATTCGCCTTCTTCGGAATTAACTACTTTATTAAATCTCGTATTAAGGGAGCAAACAAATAATGCTTTGAAACAGTGTAATAATATTCAAAGAAATGATAACCATCAAGAAAACAAAGATAAATCTGATTTATACCCGTATAAAACAGAAAATAGTAAATTAGGCGACGATAATGAACTTGACAAAAAGGCAAATGTTAAGTCGAAAGAAACTGGTAAGTAACAGTAATGAGTTATGACCACCATATATAAAAAAGTAGTCATATTGTCATACTAACAAAGGTTGAATAAGATACTAGAAGTTTATCAGATAGGATCGTTATTGCGTATTCGTTTACGATATCTGATAAATAAATCGTTATTCATTACATTTTTTCAGCATCTTTAGAAGAGGAAAATAGAAGATTAAAAGAAGCTCGTTTGTGTAAAATATGTATGGATCGGGAGGTAGCTATTGTATTTTTGCCATGTGGACATTTAGCAACTTGTGTTTATTGTGCTCCAACGCTTACTTACTGTCCAATGTGTCGACAAGAAATTCGAGCTACCGTTCGTACATTTTTATCATAAACTACATGTTAAAGTAGAAATTATTAATTTATTTATATAGATTTAGTATTTTAAACGTAAACATATATGATATATGTAAAAATGTATATTTTATACATTGCTTTTAAATAATAATCGTTAGAATTTTCAAAAATTTATGTTATTAAAAAAGCATATCAAAAAAAGAAATAGCAAGCAAATAGTTTAATTTCTATGAAATAAAAACGAAAATATGAATATTCAATATAAATCATAGAAAAGGTACTAATTCAAATTATAGCATGGACTTAAATATCACTTAGATTCCACCTTATAAATTATATGTATATACAGGTATTACTGTTGAGGCTTACACCCGAAAGCCTCAACAGTAATACTTGTATGACGCCGGGCCGTGAAAGCCTCAAGTCTCTTTTATATGTATATAGTTATTGTACCGTTTATCATTTATTTAGTAATATAGTTATTTGAATGATATTAAATGTAATTTGTTCTATTTAAATGTAACGCCACCATATAATGTAGAAGAAGTTTTCTACTCCAGACTGATTTACTTTTGTTTTTTACATGTACTGAAAACTTGTACTTCTCATATCCCTTTAAATTGAGCAATATTTAACATGCTCTCCAGCTGTGTGTGTCAAATTAAAAACTTGATCAATAGTATATTACATGTATTATAAATTAAATATAACAATTACAGAGAAAACCTTTGGTATGAAATGTCTAATAAATAAAAAAGTAATCTTATCCATTAGTTGTCACTATAACAATACATATCAAGATAGGATATCTATTGATATTACCCTGTACACGTATATAACAATATCAAAAGTGCAATTCTGGCAGTTAATGATACTCAGGTAGCTGAGAGATACTGCTGTTAAGTGTGCATTTTCTGAAGGTAAGTACAAGAAAACTATACATATATATGTATAAATATGGGTACTTGATATTATAGCAATTATTTCATTCATAATATTTTTATATTCAATAAAATATGAAATATATGTGTTATTTCATTATTCAGCATATGTAAAAGATAATATATTCTATGTAAAATAATAATTTTGCTCTTACAACTGACTCATTATTTGAATACTACATGACTTCTAATATTTAAACAATGAATCAGTTGTTAAATAATAATCTGGATCATTCTGAAATTTCTTAAAGAATCTAAAAACTAGTGAAATACGAATTAATGTAATTAAGTTTGATTTGGATATACAAATGTATTACCAAATATACATAAATAGAAATTGCGTACGTATGTCCGAGGAGTATGTTAAAAAGTAAAGTACATAGAAAGAAAGAAATTTTATAGAATTATTGATTTTAATAAAGATTTCTGGGAAATTTACGCGTCAAATTACATGTAAAGTTAAAAGATAAAAAGAGAACGCAGTAGATTGGTCGCGGCCTTTTCCACGGCCTCCGTTATTAATACGCTTTAGTAGGGTTGAGTCGAGGGGGGATTAGGAGTCTTACAGAGGAACGCCATTGCTGCTGCCTTACAACACCCGTACCAAAAGGTTAGATACTCGCGCTTGTGTTAGACCAATATGTTTTCCTTTAAGAGAATGTTAATTCGTTTGTATAAATCGTGTGCATTGTAAATATATTCTTCGACTTATTACCTCGGTTGTTAGTGAAAGGGAAACAGGGTGGTTCCGTTTTTGGATTTATTTTAATACTATTTCATTGAACGAATGGAACAAAATTGTATTTAAAAAATAAAGTGTTCGATGTAGAAAACCAATTATTTATTGTGTGTTCGCGAAATCAATAACAATTAACGGAAGAATTAACTGTTGGAGGACAAAGCGAGAACAAAGTACATGTTCGTTTACAGTCTTCACAATTGTTCTAATATCGGTATGTAATCAGTATTATATTTGGGTTATTTTACTAACTATACAAACATAAAGATCTTTTTGTGGCTATAAATGAAAGATTGTAATCATAACTAAAATGACAGGTATCAGAATGATTTTCTAAATTATGAATACTGATGATTTGAACAAGTTCAAGAAACTGTAGAAATCACGACTGCCGATTAATTTTAAATAAGAAACAATACATATGCAGAGCAAAAATTGAAAGATTCGTATTCTAAATGTATTTTGCGTTTAGTAAAAATAAGTTTCCTTTTCTGTTTCATCCATACAAAGAAATGGCTAGTTATATTTGCTTCAAGAATCTATCTCCCTTACATACCAACTTCCGTTGTATGTGTTCTTGCCTTCCTACTCTTGATTACCGTGTTGCCAAACGTTACGAACCAAACAGATGTGAAAGTTTAAAGAATTCAAGATTTTATTTTACGATTAATCTTTAATAAGTTTAAATAAAATATTGTTTTTTCTTAGTAGAATAATATTTTAGTCTAGAAGCAATATTAATATTAAATAAATTAATCAATTTTATAAATTTATAATCCAATATATATATAAAACAATGAAATATATGTTATATTGACTAAAATATTATCAGTGTATATAAATGAAAAGGCTGCATTGAACAGAAAAAAATAGATTAATCATTTCGCTGAATGTTTTATCTTGTAGATAAATGAGTTGACATTTAATTCTATCGTTTTCCTTATCACGATGTCTCACTAATTCTAGGATTTTTTGGTATGATTAATAACTGATTTCTACATCGAATATTATTCTGTTTTTTTTAAATTGTTTCACGTGAACAGACTATTAGAAAAGTATGCGTTCCGGAAAGGGGAAGAAAGGAATTCGCTATAGGTTTCCAGTACAGAGCCGTAGCAAACCGGTTTAGTACCCTGTATAAATTAAATATTTTAAATAGTGAAAATTTGTTTATTAGAACAAAAACAAACTTTCGTGTGCCCTTGTACATAAAACAATACAATTTTTCATCAATCCTAATACAATGTTATATTCGTTTATCGTTCCTCGTCAGTTTTTAAGTAATGTTTGTTAAGAGCAATAATAAGTTAGTTAGTTACATATAATTTTTCAAAATAAACATGTAAAATTGTTATAAAACAATTGCATATAAAATAAGGGATACGAGTTGTTACGCCCTTATCATCAGTACATTTCATTCCCATGACCGTGCAGTCGTATAATGCAACAAGAGAAGTTAAAATACAGGCCATGTAAGCGGCAACGTTGCACAGGGCGCTGAACAGTATGAGTGTATATCACAGCTGCAGTTTTACGTGTGTTAACTTCAAGAAGAGGGAGATCGAGTCTGTTCTCGGAAGTTCTCATTTGTGCGATACGTAGGCTGCGTCATTTCAAGTTACATATATAGTGTGAAAAGTCCATGATACTCCGTCATTCACGAATCATAACGGCATTGCCATCTACTAGCAAGGCTGCTCCTTAAAGTTTTCTTTCTCTGTCCGTTCATCTATCTTTCTCCCCTCCTCCCTTTCCTCTGCTTAGTAATGTATGCGCTAATGTGTATATTAAAAATGTTATTCGTTAACACGAATAACCTTTCATAAGTGCATAAATCGATTATATATTCAACGTTATGATATTTTATACATGTATGTTCCATATGTTCTATAATTTCATCATAAAAGACTAATTTGTTAATTATGCCCTTTACTAATATTTTTTTTAACGAAAGACAATATTATTACAAAAGTTATTTAATTCGTAACAATAAGTGATTATATATGAAAAGAATTATTTGCAAAACTGATTTAAATAACAAATTACTTAAATTAATAATAATTATATTTTTTACAAACAGGTTTTGAGGTAATAAAAAATAAAATGACTGGAATCATAAAGAATCACATAGACTTGGGAGGCGAATCAAACTTTAAAACTTCAGCAAATTCACATTTAACATCAGTACCACTCTCTGTAACGCCTCATGTGATAACCGATGAAGTAGATAATGTTGACTACCGTTTTGAAGAAGCTAGATTACAAAGCTTTGAAAATTGGCCTATATCATATATTGAACCCAAGAAATTAGCAGCTGCTGGATTTTATTATACAGGTGAAGGTGATAAAGTAAGGTGTTTTGAATGTCAAGTGGAAATATGCCAATGGGTAGAAGGTGATAACCCTATGGTTGATCATCAACGTTGGTCAGCAAGGTGTAGATTTATTCGTAAAATGCATTGTGGTAATGTACCAATTGGAGTAGATCCCAGTACAGTTTTACCACCTAGGCCAAGAAGCAGAGATGTGTGTGGTCCTTATGGCATAGAATATCGACCTACATCTGGTCCTGATAATCACAATTTCTCTAGTGAACTACAACTACCTAGCACTGCTAAACTTAGTTGTTTAGGTTTGGGTAGACCTAAAGGACCAGTGCACCCTGAATATGCTAGCTATGATGCTAGACTTCGTACATTCGAAACATGGCCAAAATCTATGCCACAGACAAAAGAACAATTAGCAGATGCTGGTTTTTATTATATTGGTAAAGGTGACCAAACCTTATGTTATCACTGTGGAGGTGGCTTAAAGGATTGGGAACCAGAAGATGATCCATGGGAACAACATGCAAAATGGTTTTCTAAGTGTTATTATTTATTAATGGTTCAAGGACAAGATTATGTAAATAAAATAACTGGTCAACATATATCTCCACCATCTAAAGAAGTAAGTATAATGAAACTCCAATCAAGTGTTCCTTCACACTTTATGTAATATATTATGTGTATAAATAATAGCTAATTTATATATTTACATGACACATTTTCTTTTTACAGGAAACAATGCAAATGAATTTACCTAGTTTTATTAAGAAGGTTCAACCAGTCACTGTAGAAACAGAGAAAAAAGAAGAAGTAGAAAGCAATCCTGGACCAAGTTCCCAAAATGTTGGTTCACAAGATAGTGGAATAGAAAGTATTGGAAGCCACACAGAATCTATAAAAGGAAGCACAGAAGATTTATCAAATTCAAAGACACAAAATAATAAACCGATTGATGATGCAAGGATGTGTAAAATTTGTTATAATGGAGAATTAGGAGTGGTATTTCTACCATGTGGACATATAGTTGCTTGTGTTAAGTGTGCTCCTGGAATGACAACTTGTGCAGTATGTAGAGAGCCTGTTACTATGACTGTGCGAGCCTTCTTCTCATAGTATTCCGTAGTTCGTGATAGTTAATGATTACATTTTACATACTGTTGTGGATCGATGGTGAGGAGGCAAGATAAACACTAGTTTTAGATATATATGAATAAGTATATTAATAATAAATGTCACTTAAGTTGTAAATAATACATTGATTCTAATGTGACCCTTTATACTTCACATACAATTTCTGTTATAGTGTTCTACACTCAATCAAAGAGTACTCTTCGACTCGATCATCCACGACTGGTAGCGATAATTAATCGCGAACTGCACTAAATGACATGACTCATGTAGTATACCAGTCTGCGGGTACAAGCTTTAAAAATTTTACAAATTTTCGAAACTTTATGTGATGTTTAAATTATAACAAAATTATTTGAATACGGTTAATAATACAATGAATATATTTAATAGTCGTAATAAAACAGAAGAATCTCCTTCATGCTTTAAAATTTGTCCACCTATGATCAGTATTAAAATAAAAGGATATAAATATATTTAAGTATTTTTACAAATTATATAACATATCATGAATGTCGGATTTATGAGAGAATTGCTCATACTGGTCTTCGGTAAAGTTTTCAGATTAATTTTATCTGAAATTGACAAGAACAGTGTAGTAGTTTCACTCGGTGTAGTTTCTTTCTAAGTATAAGCTGTACCTGCAACTGAATGTTGCTATTTGCATACTAGTAAATTTGTGTTGTTTGTAACATTCAACAATAAAAAAGATAACAAAATAAATATGCTTGATATAGAGTACAAATAGCAACAAGACATGAAGTCTAGTCATTAATATTATATAATGACAAAACAAGTAAAGATTTACAACTGTAAGTTACAAAAATTTAATGAGAGAATATTGATTTTATAATTTTATTATAATACTAATAAAATCAGTGTCTATTTTATTACCTTAGTTTAGTTTGGTCTAATATTGTATTTTAAATTTATACATTCTTTTGTGAAGTAATATGCGTAGCATTTATGAAATGTGATTTTCAGCGTATGTTCAAGAGTAGTTGTACACGCGCAAATGATAAACTGCATACAAATTATTCCGACTAAACTAATCTAGGGTGCAATCGCATATTTCATCTAATAGAGACTTCTAGCATTCTTATCATTTAAAGGATTTGTTGATATTATAAAATATAATGTGTATATTGTGTATACAGTATGATTAAAGACAGGGAAGAGTTATTTGTTTTAGCGTGTAAAAAGAAAAACGGAAGTAGTAGACATTCACATTCACTTAATGAACGATGCTGGAATTTTTCTAGCCACCTGTTTTTGGCTATGATTAGCATTATTATATGTTGTTTCAATGAAGAATAGAATTCGTTAATGATTGATTTGCATTCTTTGAATTTATTGACAAAATTTAATATGTATTAAATTAATTACATTAAACAAATAATTTAAATGCAGCTTTATTTCAAAGATTTTAGATCAAACATTGATTCTATTTTTCTACTATAATTCTACGATAATTCGAATAAAAAATTTGAAATAGTTGAAACATCCTTTTTTTTACTGATTTTCTAACTATTAATGAATTCATTTATTTATCTAGCGAATTTGCATATATACAAGATTTGCTTTCAACATGTATTATGACTGAAAAATATGTAATACATATATCGTACAATCATAAGAAGTATTTGATGTAGGGTTAATGGGCTTAGAAACTAGTAAAGTAGAATGTACTGCGATTTTGTCCTTTTGCCAATTAATATGTTAACAAATGATTGAAACAATGTTAATTTGTCTGTTGAAACATGAGTTGGTCTGAAGTAGTATGGAAGTTGAACGCATAAAGTGTAATTACATATAAATGTACTATTCTTAAATGTCTGTAAATCATTACATTTACTTCCAGTGAAATTGCCAGATTTGCACATTAAACAAAAATAAAGATTCACGTAATTTAGAAAATAACTATTTCCATTAAATTATATTGTACTAAAAGTAATTCACGCGTATACCTTATTAGTTTATTTGATATAACTTGTATATTTTAAGTGCATTATCAATATACATAGACTTTGTCTGAAATTTTAATTGTTTTTTTTTTCTTTGTGTAATATCATACAAAATTAATATATAATTGAAAATGACTTATATATTTATAAATTGTATACATTTTATGAAAATTATTAAATGATAAAATTGCTTTAAAAATACGTCGAGACTTTAAAACAGACTATTGCATGGATTGAGTCTTGGAAATCATATATTAATCTTCGCCAGTAGTCTTAAATGATTTTGAAAACTGATGTATTATACTAAATCAGTAATCTTTAGCAACGATCTACGGTTAAATTTATACCGCAGCTTTGATGTAAAAACTAATTTAATTTGATGAATTTGAATTTTTGTTTTCTCAAAATAAAATTTTAAAAAATTTTTTATACAAAACTAACTATGATAATGATATAAATAATGTAGGAACATATTTTGTTTAGTATAAATAAAATGAATAAAGTAAATATAATAATGGAACATATCTTATTTAATCCTTACGTTGAATGTATATAAAAGAAACAATTGATTTTTAAAAATGATTCAGATTTGAATAATATTTTCTAGTTTTAATTCATATTTCCTGATTTTACATTACATCCATTTATATGAATATTTAATTGTTAGAGATAATGTCAGGAATAACAGAGACGATAATAATTGTATTTGAAAATAAAAAATTGTTGAATTTTTATATTCATACATATATATATGTTTCTATATTATAAACAAACATGAGAATTTTCCGATTATTTTGGCGTTGAGATGTCGCTGATTTCAAATTCTATAATGGCGACTACTCGTTCAATAAGATATAATAGGATAGAACGAGGTCGGTGTTCGTGTATTAAATTGACAAAAGTTTTTACCTGATATAATATATTTGTGCTTTTTGTGATGTATTGAAAAAGTAAATACTGATAATGGGAGACTTATTTGATATCGCAAATTTAATTACAACTGTCGGTGTTGATAAAATAAAAATTAAGCCGGAGCCCGGATTGCCAGAAAAGTCATCAAATGAAATACTGACAGAGTTGTTTAGTACATTTGACGCTGAAGAAGGAATAGTATCACCCATAAATACTGACCAACAAGTTCCAAATGCCAATATTAAAATTGAAAAATCTAATAAAAATCAGATCAAGAAGAAAAAATCTAAAAAGAAACATAAACATAAAGATAAGAAGCATAAAAAAAAGTCAAAACGTAATTCTTCTGAAAGTAATAGTGATCTTGAAAGTAATAGTAAGATATCATTGATGTTTAAAAATATAGGTAGGTGTATATATTACTTACATTTAACAGTAATCATTTTTTATAATGAATAGATGTTAAGAAGAAGAAAAAGCATAAAAAGAAGACAAAACGGAAGCATGAAAATGATTCAAGTAGGTCATCAGATTCTGATGAACCCAAGAGTAAAATAACAAAACTTGACAGTTATGATAACATAAAAAGGAAATGTCATAACAAAGATAATGGGTTAGAGAAAAAGAATATCAATATGTCAGAGAATGTCAAGGAATTAATGCTAGTTAAAAAGGAATCAGTGTCAGCGAACACTTTTACAAAAGAGCCAGATAGTCCTCAATTACCGCCTATTTCAAAGAAAATTCAAGATGAATCTGAAGAGCAATTAATACCTATAATTCTTGGTTTGTATTATTTATTTGATAATTTTATATTTATAATAATCTCAAAACATGTTTAATATAGATACTTTCTTATTTTAAGTTTTGTTTCCTGTACAAAATGTTACTAAACTATAAATTTAAACTATTATTGTGATATTCTTTTTGAATATATAGAAAAACCAAAACAAGCACTTCAAGGAAAAATCTTAATAAAAGATCTCAAGAATAGTACAGTCTATAATAATACAGTGAAAGAAATAGAAAATAAAGAAAAAGAAAAGGCTGCTCGAATGGAAGATGGTGAATTATCTGATAGTAGTACAGATAATCGAACATTAAGTCCAAGTCCAACACAATGCAGTTTACATAGATCATCTACGTTAAGTCCAAACTTGGAAAAAGTAGAAAATAAAACATTGAGTCTCTCAAAGGGTATAATTGTAAAAACTGATTTGAGATTTATTTTGAGAGAAAAGGAAAAGAAAAGATTAGGTGATGTAGAAAAATCAAAATTATACATGGATAGTGAATATAAAGAAAAAGTATGTAACTATACTAACAAAAGTACAAGCAGGGATAGTAAACATAATTATAATTGTCATTTAGAAGAAAAAAAAAGATCTTCTGAATCCAGAACATGTACAAGTTCACATAGAAGTAGAAGTAGAGGTGGAGATAAAAAAAGAAACAAAAGTATTGACAGACATGATAAAAGTCGGAGCAGCGATAGACGAGAATTTTTGAAATGTAGAGAAAGACGAAGACATAGAAGTCGTAGCGACGATAAAAGCAGGGATAAGTATGTACGAGGACGAAGTAGAAGTAGAGAACGAAAGTTAGTACTGTTTATTTACTAATGTATATGTACACTTATTAGTGTACTTATATATATATATATCTATTGTGCATGTGCGCGTATAAACATATTCTGATATATTAGCACATAACTCTTTTTAAATCATTTATAAGTTTGTGTATTTTATTAGGGAAAGAATAGAAATTGATAAAAAAAAATTGTTGGAAATAGCAAGAAGGAATGCAATAAACATGATTAAACAAGGAACATTACCATTAGTACAGCAGGATAAAGCTATTGCTGCAATTCAAGCTGGTGGAAAAACAGTAGATGAACTCACAGGTAAATGTATAAGAATATATCTTAATTATTAAGCACGTATTTATTCGTTAAAGTACATCTATTGTTTTAGATTTTTGTAAATCATTATCGAAATCCGAAGCATTAGGAGAACTTTCTAGTATCTCTTCAGAAGAAGATGGAAGTGAATCTGAAAAGGGCTTCCATCATCCCTTTTTACTTAAAGGACGACCTAATTCTATTATTATGAATATTCGGGTGAGTTTGAGATAAGTAATAAATAAAAATACTACTAGTTTATTCATTAATATATTATTATTCCTATATTTAAGGATGCAAAACAATTGCCAACCAAAACATTCCAAGAAAAAACTGTGGAATCATCGAATCAACTACGTTTACAATTTCCTGTATCAAGTGGACAACATCATAGAAAAAGCGGTAAAGCATCTATACTTATAATTTTAGTTAAAGTATCATTTTGACTTCAGTTTTGTAGACTTATTCTTTTACAGAAAATGAGTGGATACCAGTCACACCAAAAAAACCAGAACCAAAAAAACAATTTGTACCATCTTCTGTGCCAGCTGAACCTCCTGTTGTAATATGTTCAACCACACCTGTTGTATATCCAATGCAATCAACAGTTTTTCCCCAACCAACAATTCCAGAGGTACAAAGAAGAAAATAATTTTTAACTTTTTTATGGTGGATTTGCATTTATACGCGCATTGTATTTACAGGTAATAGATATTGGTTCCATAGTATCTCAAAGATTAGCAGCAATGAGAAAGTTAAGAGAAAATCCAAATGATGTATTTGCTCAGAATGAAATGTATCGTGCACAAAATGAGGTATAAGATTAAATTGTATTTGATACAATGCAATTATGATATGATATGCTTATATCATTATATATTTATATTATAGATGAAGACATGGGCTGAAAGTAAACAAATGCCAGGACAGTTTACTGGCAGTACGGGAGCCAAAGTGCTCTCACCTGCAGAACTTACTTCAGGTTATCAAGCCTGGGCTCGTAAGGTAACAGTATTATTTGCAACACGATTATCTTTCATTGTTTGCTCTTTCACATTCATTTGATCATTGAAAACTATTTAAAAAATTATGATAGCAATACTTCACCTAATTATATTCTTGCATATAAAATGGTTGATAAATTATGAGTATGAAACGTTAATACATATGTTAAAGCATATGTATTATATACGTTACAGTTTCTATTTTTTTTTTTCACCACGCATTGCCTGATACTGATATTGCCTGTAACAAGTTTTCAGGTACAGTTTCTATCAAGATCAATGCTATATCAAATATAGCAGATCTGATAAGAACTGTGTTGTAGGCACAGACTATTTCTTTTACAGAAGTAGATTCTGTGTCTGCATGGACACAGGAGCATCATTATTTTGTATACAAATATCTGCATTTGATAATGTAATTACATAGTTACTAAATTTTCCACTCACTTTATTAAAATAAATTATAATAAAAAATAAATGTATACAAGAATAATAATTGCTATTCTGGACGTAATGAGCTCCTGTGAGATTATTGCTAATTATCATCAGCTTCCCATCATAGGATTTCATCAGGAGTTACTGTATCTTTTTGTTATTAAGCTGGGATATTTAGCATTAGTCTGCATCCACCTGAGGGTTTGTTACAGGCACGTAGCTACATCAAAGAAGAAACAACTTCAGCGGCGTGATGTCGAATTTATGATTTTTTTTGGTAAGTATTTTCACTCAAAAAATATTTGAACTTTACATAATCAGTTACTACATTGAGATATCGTAATTGGATATGGTGTAACAAAATTATATTTTAATATATGTATATTGTTATCATTCTTATTTTTTAATTTTGATTATTATAGATTTTACAAAATTTATTATGTCTTAATCTAACAAACTATTTAGGATCAATTAGTATCAGCACAACCTGTTTCGGGTGGGATGGGTATGGCTTTACTACAGAAGATGGGTTGGCGACCAGGGGAGGGTTTGGGAAAAAATAAAGAAGGTACTCTTGAGCCCTTGCAGCTTGAAGTAAAATTGGATAAAAGAGGCCTAGTTTCAGAGCAAGATATTGGGCAAAAAGTAGGAAAAACTACAAAACCTATAGTACCTGCAATTAAAACCTTGGAAGGTATGTCACAGTAAAAATTTTACAATTTATATATTACAGTAAAATTCATATATTACAGGAAAACATCCAGTATCACTATTGGGTGAATATTGTTCAAAGCGGAAACTTGGTGCTCCAGTTTATGAACTATGTTTTGAATGTGGACCAGATCATAGAAAAAATTTTCTTTTTAAAGTATACATCTTTAATAGCTTATGCTCTATTTTGTCACTAAATTTTACAGGTTGTTTTTAGCTAATACTATATTTCAGGTTAAAGTTAATGGAATTGAATATAAGCCAAGTGTGGCAAGTCCAAATAAAAAGCAGGCTAAAGCAGAAGCAGCACAGATTTGCTTGCAAACATTAGGTTTACTACCAGAACCTAGTTCTATACCTGTTACAAAACCTTAGTTACTACAGTAATTTAAGATTACAAGTATTACTTCTTTCAAAATTAGTAATAATGTAAAGCAATGTACATAAAAAATTTGTAAATTTTAAAAAATAAGTTAAATACTTTTTCTAATTTAAAATGTATATATTTAACTTAAAATTTATATTTTATCGTATTTCGTTTTTATCACTGAATGTTCAAATGTTTATTACATTTTGTCAGATTAAATGTATACACTAATAAATATGTAAATAAAATATAATTATATAATATAAAATTATATCTTTACATAGTATTCATATAATTCCTTTTCTAACAAAAATTATAATTCATAAATACGAATAGTAAATTTTATAAAATACAAAATGCAGACTACGATTCGAGGTTATTGTTTACATTTAAATATCTATGTAAGATATGTATGTTTAAAATTATAGAAATATGTTTAAAATTTTTTAATAAACTAATTTAATTTTGTAGTTCATCCAATCATACATGATTTATTACAATAAAAAAGATCATTTTCACTTTGATAAAACTAAAAAGGAAGTTGGTGTTATGGTTAATGTCAAACTGCTATGACAGTGAAACGCCGGCAATTTAATTTTTACTGTGATGGATGATGCGGAGGAACCAATTTTTTACGACGATGAAGATGATTTTGTTGGACATGAATATTTACAAGACACGGAATATGAATACGAATATGAAGACATGGAACGAGAAACATTATTTGAACTGTATCAATATTGCTTCTGCCCTACTGTTTATGATACCATCTCATACATCTTACCACTACTTATTTCTACGATCATATTTAGATTATGCATCCATTCTCGTAAGATATATTTTTATAGATATGCGCATACACATAGTGACAAAATAAAAAATTGAATCTCAATATTTTAAATTTTATATTACAGAACATGTGTCACACAAGACTTTCCATATACTGTCAATGTTGATTGGTATATATAATATTTATCATTATGTGACAGAATGTTTATATACATTACTATTATTGTGTATAATTTCGTATATTAGTCTATATATACCTAAAAAGTATTGCAAAAACATAGGAATATTTTTACCATCTCTTTTTATTATTGCATATTGGTAAGTTTTAGAATGTGCTATGAACAATTGTTACTTTAAATGCAATTAATGTATTTATGTGAATAATTTTCTTTTATGATTTTTATTTAATAGTGAATTTTCTATGCCACCAATAACTTGGCATAAAATACGTAGCGTAGTAATGACAATGGCAATGAAAACAATCAGTGTAGCAATAGACAAAATAGACTCAAATGATTTGCCTAACATTTACACCTACATGGGATATACTTTTTGTGGTGTTACATGTCTTTTTGGTCCATGGATATCATTTAAAGATTATATGTCAGTACGTTATGTTAACAGTCAGGTATAGAAATTTTATTTCAGATTATACATTTTTTCACTCAAACAAAGTTAAAAGATATCATTGATAAGTTTTATATTTCAGGGTAAGTGGTGGATGATTTATGGCATTCAATCTATGTTTTTATCCATATTATTTTTAACTATTTCAAATTGTTGGACACAATGGATAGTTATGGATAATTCATGGAAGTTAGTAAAAACTTTTTCACAAAGTTTAATATCATTTATCACATTATAATAAGTATTAATTTGGCTTTATTGATGTAGGTGGTTATTGGCTTATAGAGATGCACTATCTTTTCGAGCATCTCACTATTTTATTTCATACATTGCATCTACTTTATTGTTAATAGGAGGATTTCCACTTTCCTTAAAAACTGTGGTAAAACCATTAAAAATTGAATTTCCACGTTCTCTTGTAGATGTTGTTGTTTGTTGGAATATACCAATGCATTTCTGGTTAAAAACATGTATGTATTGATATTTAAAGTCATTTTCGTATATTTAAATTCATCATTATTAAATTGTAAGATATCGAATATTTAAATCAGTATCTAATTTTTAGACATATTCCGTCCTAGTATTAAACATTTAGGAAAATTCGGGGCTGTAACAATGACATATTTAACAAGTGCCCTATTACATGGATTAAATTTTCAACTGGCGGCGGTTCTACTTAGCCTCGGATTTTATACATATGTAGAATACCAACTGAGGTCTATGCTTGCAAATATTTTCGATGCATGTATTGCATCAAAGCAGTGTACCACAAATAAATGTATACACACATACAACACTCATAATTCTTGGTGGGTACTTATAACAAATATGGTATTTTCTGGGTTATCAGTGTTTCATTTAGCATATTTAGGTCTTATGTTTGATACATCAGAATTACAAGAAACAGGATATAGTTATATTCATACTATCGAGAAATGGTCGCAACTTGGATTTGCTAGCCACTGGGTAGTGTTTGCCACATATTGCATATATTTTTTGATTAGGTAATATTAGATTTAAAAATTACACGTTTATTAATCTTAAATAATTTACACATATGTTATATTAACATAGATCTACAGACACTATCTAGGCAGGAAGAATAAAGTACAGAAATTATAAAATAATTTAAACAGGAGATGTAATATGATCATAGAATTCTGAAAATAAGTAAAATACATAGTCTTTATTAAATTTATAACATAATATAAAGTAGATTTGCACGTATGTGTATATAAAGCACATTAAACAATTATTACATTGCAATTCTAAAATGTTTATATGCTATACTCATTAAATAATACTTTATTGACATCTTATGTTATCAAACTTGAACAAAGTTATACTAGGGGATAAGAATATTCTTTTAATTAAAATACAATTAATTTTGCAATTTGATTTTGATGCTAGTAAAATATACCAATACACAACAGTATACTATATATTACAGCATAATGTATCGTATACTCTACAACAAGTTAAAAACAAAAATAACACACTTTAGAATTAACTACTCATTTGTTCTTGTATAAAATATACGAAAGAATTTTTCTACAGGTTTACTTACATATTTAAGGCAAAAGTTTGAAACATGTGTTTACATACACACATACACGTGCACACGTATATGTATATGTTCATCCATACACACCACATACGTACACGCATATGCGATTAACTACTAATTTAATAATAATGTACCTACTATTGTAAATATACAATTTTTCTAACACTGTCACGAAAGCGTAATTAATGCGTTATACGATATTGTTTAATATTAGACAATCATCAGTACAGTAAGCGCTTTTATACATAATATTATGATCAGCTCCTTCTCATGATTATAAATTATTTGTAAAAAATGTTATTTGTAATAATTATAATTTGTAATTACAAATTTAATTCTTACTAAACAGATATATAATGTACAATTCCATAAGTAATTCTTTTTTATTAAACAAAACGTATTACCTTTTTAATCTTATACTTTAAAATTTAACATATAACGAGTCATTTTATATTATTAAAATATCTTCATTAATATACATTGCTGACATTTCTTTATGAAATACATTAATTTATTAAAATATTTATTTGTTCTTATGTATACAAACATATACATTCAATATGTATATATACACACAATATATTATTCACATAAACCATATATTCTTTTGGGTGAAATCTATATTAATTAAAATTTATGTTTATCCGCATTATATATCAATATTGACATATCTATTAATTTAATTACATATTCTACACTGACAAAAAATAAAATAAATGTACATAAATTATATTGCATAATATCGGGTGTAATCATATTTCAATGATAATTTTAGCATCGTTAATAGTACAATAAAATTTATACAATTTCTTTTAAATTTTTAAAATATTTAAAGTGCATTACTATTTGCATAGTATTTTTAAAGCTATGTTTATAAAAGCCATTTTTTTAATTAGTATTATTTATATGCCATGTAATATTTTAAATGTCAACCATAGTATAAAATTATGTACTAAAGCAATTTATAAGTACATGTGGGAACAATTTTTGATAAGATTTTACAAATAAAAAGCAGCATTAAAAATGAAAAATGTTACTAAAAAATATACAACAGGCTATATATATATTGCTTTGTAAAATCTACTGCAATTATAAAAATTTGAAAACAGTACTTGTGTGTTTTCTTTTTATAATTGTATTTAACGATATTTTAAATATTAAACATCTATTATTATTTACATTGTACACAAAATTTAAAAAAGAAAGTGTTTTTTTTTAACTGTATCCTCGGATCATTTGTAGAAATGTGAAAAATCAATGTAATATTAAAGTAATTAATCATACGTATTATATATGCGCTTTACTTCATTTTTGTGTATTCCATTTAAACATTTTTTTTTCTTTCTTTTTTTTTTTAATAACATCGAAGAAAAATGTTTATAAACTCTTATTATACTCCATAAAATATTTGTACATTCTAATGTTATTTTTAATCACATTTCTTGATATGTTTTGTCTTAAAATCATTGTAAAACAATGAAGAACTTTAAGTAAAAGAGTATAATATTTTTAAAAATTTGCATTTCAAATAAAAGAAATCTGAAGACACAGTTAAAATTATTATGCATAATAATAATTATGCAAGCATTTTTAATACATTAAATTTACTTTCATCATACTATGATTGCAATTTCTTAGTAAAGTATATTATACGCGTCACATGATTTTTTATAAACTATTTTGTCAACTCAAAATTTAAAAATCTGTATAATACATAACATTCCTCTATAATTCAATAGTTATATGAGCAGGTATTATGTTTATCTACAAATATTACCTTGCGTGTGTAAAGATAAATGAACCATATTAATTACATACTATAAGTAATACATGTACATTAGGATTATAAGTTTCAGCATACTTTAATTTTTTGTTTATAACAAGTATGTTCAATTTTTCAATTTAACTGAATTTTAACCTATTTTTTACTGCATACTAAAGGTTGTTGCTGGACAGCGATACGCTGTACGATCAATTATTATTTGTATAGCATTTTTATTCTGACCAGCAGAAATTTAATGTAGCAAAAGTACGATTAATAAAAAGGCATATTAATTTTTTCCGCGATCGTTCAACGCATCGCAAAATGTAAAAAAAACTTTAAAAACCATTGTAGGCCATCAATTTTTTACGCATGAGAAACTTATAATCCAAACTATAAGCACAAAATAACTACTTTGAAAAAGTTGATGATGATTAGTGATCTAACTATTCTTCATTAATCGTGATAAAAGCAATAGCTGTTTGAATTGTGGATTGAAGATCAAAAAAATGTTTTTACTGAATGGTCGGATTTAAACGATGAGATCTTCTGCGCTGTGGAGAGACTTGAGTTACTGGATTGTCCTTTTCAATGCCACTTAGAACATCGGTTAGTCATCTGATAAATGCAGTTTTATAAGTTTTGCTCGTGCGTGCACTGCAAGTCACAGAAAGAAATGGAAATGGTTCGTTAGCCATCTCAATGCTACTTATACGAAGCTTTAAATATAATGTACTCGGTTTTTATGTGTAGACAGTAACTGAATTTAGTGAAAAAGTATTTTCTTTTTATATATTCATAGTATATCAAATTTTTTAAAATATATACTGTACATAACATTGCTTTAATATCCTTTGTCAAAATCTTGTACAACTTTAAATATCATACATGCGTTAAATGATAATTTCTTATTAGTGCATGCAATGACTACTAATGATAGAACATTAGTGACACATGCAAGTTAATGCCAATGATAAATAATGTGAAATGTTTACATATAACTTTACATTCTTTTATACATAATATATGTACACATAAAATTAAAATCATATTTACATATGTCCGAATTAAATGTAATAAACCTAATTACAGAATACAAAAATTGCTAAAAATTCATTATAATATACAACACACAATAGCAAATAAAAGTACTCATGTACTCTTTAAAAGAGAATAATTTTTTCTAAAATGTCAAAATGACTAAACGATTTGAATTTTTTTGAAAAGCTAGGTCTATTTTACTATGTAATTTACAAGTAATTTAGTATTACTAGCTTCTCAAAATATTCAAATTGCTTGATTCAATTAAAAAAAAAGATTATTCTGCTTTAAATAGTAAACGAATATTTTTATCTGGTATTATATGCAATGCATTAATTATCAATACATCAAATTTATCGATCAAAAATTGGCGAATTTCATAAAGAAGCTATATAACTGTTACTCTGCAAAACTTTAGAAGTAACAGTTACTGAGACTTACTGTCTTAAAGAATGATAGCGATTTACTCGATCTGCAGACCTGAGGATCATATTTGTGCCTTGTTGTGGTTGCGTGACCGAACTGTTTGTAGACACATTTGTAGTACGGGTTTCTGCGATGCATGAAGTTCTTATAGGCTTTGTCATCTTGGCCTTTGTTACCGACGGTTTCGGTATAGATACTGAGATAACGGGAATACTGGTAGATGTATTACTGTTGTTCGTAGTGGTGGTAGTTGTAGTAGTAGTAGTGGTGGTGGTGATCGTAGTAGTGGTAGTAGTGATGCTGGTGGTGGTGATGGTATTATTACTGCTGCTGCTGTTGCTGCTGTTATTGATATTATTGATGAGTGTTGCTGATTTGGTGGACTTAACACGACGTGGAGGTGGATCACAGGTATTACTGCGGGCCATCCAATTTCTATAATATTTAGTAAAAGAAAAACTACAATTCTCTATTAATTTGTATAACATGCAACAGTTTCATGACAAGCAGATTGATCTTATGACAGTCACAGAGCCCTATCACAAAAGAAAATATTAATAAAAATTGAAAAACATTGGATAATAGGAAAGAAGAAAAAATGAAAGAACTGATAAGGTCAAATAATAAATGCAAACAAAGATAATAAATTATTATGTAATAAAGAAAATTTTACTGACCTTTTAGTAAAAGTTGTAGTTGGTCTAGGAACAAGTTTTTTTGTAGGATCCTTCTCTTTATTTCCTACTATTGTATTGATTGCACTTTTTTGACTTCTTGTTTGTAATAATGGTTTTAAATAAGGGCTAAAAACATAATACACATTGATTAATAACAGTTTTATCAATGATAACAACTTGAATTAATAATATTTACTGTACTACTGTTGATGGTCCAGTACTTGTATTAATAGGAGTATGATTTGTCAACAAACGTTTTCTTTTAGCTTTGAGTTGATTCAATTTATCACCCTCTGTTAAAGCTGTGTACTTCGTTGTACTAGCACCCGTGGTACGTTTGAAGTCATGAAATGTGATTCCATCGACACGATGCATTTTTCCCGAAACATTATCTTGTACCACATGACCATCTTTTAAATTAGATAAAAATGATGACTTAGGTCTACCAATTATAGAATATATTCCATATTTATGCACTGGATTTCCATTCTGACATTGTAATGGTTCTTTCAATAAAGAATGAAGAAATGCTTCTTTCCTAAGATATAAAATTGATCACTTTTTTCAATTCAAATATAACATTAAACCTAAACCTAATATTTAATAAAGATACGTACTTTTCTAACCATTCCTGTTGATGCCCAATGACAGAACCTGGCCGACATATTCTTATCCATGCTATTGTTTCATGAGCTGTTAGATGATAATGTTTCATAATGTAACAGCCTATTAAAGAACCAGTTCTACCAAGTCCTGCTTTACAGTGTACAGCAACAGCACCACATGCTTTTTCTGCTACTTTAAGAAACTGTCGCATAATTGAATCCGTTGGAGTTGAACCATCAACAAAAAACAGATCTTTATGATCAAATCCTGCATCTGTGAAAATTGAAGCATCATAAATTTTTTTATTAAGTCGTATAATAGTAGTAACATTGTTATAACGGAAATATGTAAAATATGACTCTGGTGCATGAAGAGGGTATCCTGAAAACAAAAAGAAATAGAAATAACAAAATGAAAAATATATATAATAGTACTACAACATTCGTAAATACAATACAAAAACTTACCATCTTCTATCTTAAATTTAGCATATGGTCCACAAAATGCAATGAATTTGCCAGGGACAATCCAATTTAAATCTCCATTTTCTACTCTTTCAAAATATTCATATTCTTTAACACAGAAATCTTGAAAATTGAAAAATCCAAGTCTATGACATTTATATATAGCGCTAAGACATTCGCTTAATGATATTTGATACCATGGTGTACCAACAGAAGCATCCCGAAACATAATAAATGGTGGACTATTTGGGCTACTTGTCAAACAGTTATATGCTTCCTCTGCTGTGCGTTTACAATACAATATCTAAGAAATGTGGATTAACATTATTATATTCACGAGTAGATGATGCACTAATTATTTATAAATAATTGATAAGTGTCTTACAGAATAACTTCCAATGAGGAAAGCAGCATTAACTCTTTTTCCAGGGTCTGTTGTTGTATAATGTACAATTTTTTTCTTTTTTAAAGTTACTGCTTTAAGTTTTCTATTAACCTTCTGGCAATAATGATATAGCATAGCCAAATTTAATGGACCAAAATCATCATAGAAATTTTCATAAATTAATTCATCGTCAATACTGAAATAATGGGTGTTTGGAGTACTTTTTGGTTTTATTGTTGTCCGCAGTGTCACAAAATAAAGCCGATCTAAAGAAAATATTTTGAAAAAACATAATTATTATTAAATAAATTACAAACAATATATATTATTTGTATCTTTATATATGTTACCTTTTATGAATTCTGTTGCACATACTAATACGTCATTTGTTTCCTCCATTATTAGTTTTTATTTAGTAACTGATGCTGTGAATAACAATTAAATAAGTGTGTCATCAGTGTTACGGATATACACAGGATACAATTTAATTAATGCAATCAGAGATCATAAATATAAACACACAGAAGGTTAGGAGTGGGTGTAGTAAAGGTAAACTGCATCCATTTACCTACACATAATTATACTTTTATGACATATTTAATAAATACGAATTCGTAATTAGAACATTCTATATACAAAAATGAGGTGTCTGTTATATTACAAGATGCCTTACACTCACCTGCACGACCGTTACAAGATTCAAACTTGGTCAATTGAGAGTCGGTGATGGCCGATCGATTGCGTTGTACAGCTCTTCCGGTTGTATATACATTCAAGTATTTGTTAATACATGAATAATATTTAATGTATTTTTGTTATTAGCACATCACCATTTTATAAATCATTAATAAGATATTTATTCCTGATATATAACAACATCATTATCCACCATAGGAGCAGAAGGTAGTTTTCGAATACACTGCCATATTGGTTGCTCTCACAAAATTAAACTGATAATAATGTACTGATTTAATTTTTACAACAAGAAACATCGTAAAATGTTCACTAATGTTGTATAAAAAGATTATAACTTAAATAGAAATAATGTTAAAGTTTACAACGCAATTAGTCAACAATTTTATCTGTTTCTGCTTGGCATGGATTAGACAACGATTATTCCATTAATTGCAAAACAGCGCGCTCTAGCCGAGAAAAATGGTCTCTCTTTAAATTATGAACATTGTTTTTTCTTCAGTTTATTACTTATAATTGCTATTATAATATTTATTTAATACTGTCTTTTAGCATCAACTATTATATTCAAGTAACAAATATATAATAATTCCATGCTTGTGAATTTTTTGTAATTATTCTGATTCAATGTTGATAACATCGTTATAAATAACGGCAGTAACTTAACCACACCATGTTCAAACAACACCAGGTAAAAGTAGGTATATGTTAGACAGTGCGTGTTGATATGTATATAGTATACATAGTCCACTGATGGTTTTATATATATCAGTGATATGGAGAATTCATCGTATAAAATGACAGTTTGGTATTTAACATAGATGTATTATACCTAAAGAAGAAAAGTAACGATGGAGTGCAAGGAAAGTTCACAGGCAAATTCAGTTTCAACGGAAAACGGAAGTTTGAAAACATTCGTGTTTTCGAAACCGAATATACTTAGCCATCCTAAAGTTATCAGTTCTGAGGTTAATTCAAGTCAAGCATTGGATAATTTTACTGTTAAAAAAAATACATTTACTTTTGCTATGCCAGTAGCAGTTTCACAACCTAGTAATCAAAATACACCCATTTTTCAATCAAGTATTTGCGAAAAACAATATAAACCCAAAATAACAAGGAATTCTTATAAACCAGCAGTTAATGTATTTGCCCAAGCGGTTAAAGATATTGCAATGTTTGAGCAATTAAAGAAAAATTCTAGATCACAAGTTACAAAAATTAATTCAGAAAACTCATTAACATGCACTAATGTACCACAATCTTTACTTACAAAAGTATCAGCAAAAGAATATTTTAAACAATTTGGAAATATTTTGAAAATAACCATTCGTCCTAAAAAGCAAGTAATTAATGTGACTTATGCTACCAAAGAGGAAGCAAATGTGGCTTATAGTAAATGTGGTGAATATTTAGGAGAAAAATTCAGTATAGACTGGATGAAATCGTGTACTTCGCCAAAATCTCCTACGAAGAAAAAAGATATGCAAAAAAATATTGTATCACAAATTGTAACTAACTTTTTTCAATCACCCGAAGAAGAAGTTAAGTTTGAGTTAGATGGTATGGTAAATTTGGATTATAATTTAAATAATAGAGATAATTTTGATGGAACTTTGCATAAAAAAGGTAAAATGTTACAATCAAAAAGTATATCAAAATCAACAACAAGGACAGAAAAAACTATAAAATCTGAAAAACTCAAATCTGATAGCCAAATATCAGATCTATTACCTAATGCTACTATTGAGGAACTACAAAATATAATTCAACAACCTGCATATACTTCTGAAGACAAATATAAAGTGTTAGAAGCAAGAGATAGACTCATGCGAATGAAACAAATTAAATCTCATACATTAGCAGCAGCCAAAGTAATGATTGGAACATGTCCTGATATGTGCCCTGAGAAAGAACGTCTTATGCGTGAGGCAAAGAGACAAGTGGCATTATATGAACTACTTGAAAGTACTGAATATAAAATAAATCATACAAGAGCAGTTAAACAATATTCTAGATCTTCTGCAGATCAAGAAGAACCAATGGCACATGAACTAAGACCAGTGAAATCTTTAAAGATGACTATGAGTTACTTACTTCATGAAATAGCAAATCTTTGTGATCAACAAGGAACAAATTTAGCAGAATGGTACCATTTTTTATGGGATAGAACAAGAGGAATTCGGAAAGATATAACACAGCAAGAATTATGTTGTACGGATAGTGTTGAATTAGTAGAACAATGTGCTAGATTTCACATAGTATGCTCTGAAAGACTTTGTGCAGAAGAAGCATCAGTATTTGACAAAAGAATAAACTCTGATAATCTAACAAAATGTTTACAGTCGTTAAAATATATGTATCATGATTTAAGAGTAAAGGGAATTAGTTGTAAAAATGAACCTGAATTTCGGACATACATTATTTTATTAAATTTAAACAATGGCAATTTTATGTGGGATTTGCAAAGATTACCAAGAAATATTCAAAAATCACCAGAAGTTCATTTTGCATTAGAAATATATTTTGCTCTTGAATCAAGTAATTATTATAAATTTTTCAATTTAGTTAAAAGAACCACATATTTAAATGCATGCATCTTATTAAGATATTTTAGTCAGGTCAGATTAAAAGCATTAGCATTATTGGTAAAAGCATACTGTAGAACTGCTTCAATAACTGCTGCATATCCATTGTACGAATTAATTGATATTTTATGTTTTGAAAATGAAAATGAAGCTATTTGCTTTTGTGAGCAAGTAGGATTAAATATTTCAAAAGACGGATTATATGTACTATTAAACAGACACAATTTTACTATGCCTGTGTTAAATATAAAACAAGACAGAGCATGCAATTTGATAGAATCTAAGAGAACAGTACAACAATTATCTATTGGAGAATGTATAGCTGGTGGAGAAATGCCAGAGAAATCTTATAAGTATCATAAACCACATAATAGTTTTGATTCACATGGTTATTTAACATCTGACTCTATTAATGCAGGAGATCAAAGCAAAAATGTTACTTTAATAGATGATCCATATGAGTTTAAAGATGAAGATATAATTAAAACCAAGCAGCTGACATCAACTTCTAGCAAGAATCAGACTAATATTGAAAACACAATGAATGCAGACTATACAAACATATTCAAATCTGTTACAAATGTGGAACCCGATACAAATAATTTTACAACTACACAATCTGATAACAATATTTCTTTTGCTTCCAAACTTCAAACACAAACTAACAAATTTCAAGGAAATACAAATGCAACACTGAAACTTCCAAAAGTAGAAAACCAAAATGAGTCAAATGTATTTAATCTTAAATCGAAACCACAGAATACTACAATGAATGAAAGTAACACCAATGCATCTTTAATTTCGTCTAATACATTCAACAGAACGTCAGCAAATGTTAAAACTTCTAATATATTTTCTAAACAGTCTGTTTCGGTGTCAAACAATGATGCTGCCTCATTTTTGCCTGTAGAAACTATTTCAAAATCATCATCATGTATACCAAACATTAAAACTAATGTGATTAAAAATACGTCAAAAGACGTACAGAATACAATTGCTCATACACAAGAAATACAAGAAAAGACTTTACAAGAAAAAGAAGATGAGAAGTTGAAACTGAAAGAAAAAGAACATGTTCAAAAGATGCAACAAGTTAATGAAGTTGCTGAACAGATTTTAAACAAACTGCAGACGGAAATTATAAAATCATGTTGTTCTAATATAGTAACAGAAGAGCTTGATAAAATACATGCTTACAACACATTAAGCGAAGATGTTAGTAGCCAAATTTTGAACGAAATTATTCATGAAATATGTGATAATACATTAAAAGAAGAAATTATTAATGTACAAAAAGTATATGATCTGTCCATGAAAATAAAGAATAGAGTAATTATAAAATACTTTAATATATGGAAACTTAATACTTTGAAGAAAAAGCAACAAAGAATAGCACTAGATGGTACACCAGTATGGTTACAAAAGCACTCCAGTAAGGATTGTGCAAAATTATTATATTCTAAAGGACAAGATTTAGTTATTCAAACTATGTGCAAAAAACAAAATGAAGAGAGGATTGTAAAAGCATATTCTGAATCTCTACCGAAAATTGAAGAAATAATTTATAGTGGTATTAAAGAAAATTTGAAATCTTGTGATATCAATGTTCATTTCAATTACTATTGGAAACTAGTTATTTCTTGGCCAAATTTACATAATAAGCCTGTCTTATGGCATCACAAGAAGATAATGAACCAGTATATTTATCCAGATGATTATACTATGGATCCCATCATAAAACTTTATCATCCAAATCACATTGAAACTTTACATATTTGTATTAGACACTTTGAAGGATTGATTAATGATCACAATTTAGTAGGATCAGATGCTCTGTTATTTATTGCATCAGCTTCAGAAGAAATTAAACTTGTTACAAGACGTTTAAGTAAGACTGTACTATCTAGAGATAGGCTTATGCCTATACCTCTTGTATTTATTATCTTAGGTGATTTAAACATTGAATTCCAACACAAAGAAGTTGATTCAATTTTAGAAGAATTATTAGAATCTGGATATTTATCAACATATACAGTTATTCGTGAGGAGAATTTAACTGAAGAAACAATTTTAAAGTTAACAAAAAGTGCAATATTTTGGTTATCTATTAATAAGTCACCACAAAATCCATTAGAAATGGATTACTTACAAGACATATATGACACCTGTTTAACAGAAGAATTATGGTTAAGGTATTTTAATTTAATACATATTATTTTGTCAGATTCTTTCTATTTCCAATTTAATTATGTGTATTTTACAATATTTTAATATTTTTGCAGGATATACAATGACACATTCTTAAATGAGAAATTGTCACATGCTCTAAATGAACCCAAATTCATGATCAATTTACATAATGAAGCAATCACTCACATAATAGACATATTATTGAATCCAGAATCTTTTATGTATACAAAATTTGCACCAGAATTAAAAAAATTTATTAGAAATCAATATGCACTTCCATGCAGTTATGAATATTTTGATGATACTTGGAAAAATGAGGAGTATAAAGCAGAATTAGAAAAAGTGATGTGTACTTTTAAACTACCTCAATGGAAGTAAGTAATATAATTAAATATTTTTTTACTTTTGTTCAATTTTATTTATGAATTAACATAAATTTTTTTTATAATTATTTTAGTTATGGGTGGCCCATAAATGACAATAATGCACTTTATCAAAATATAACAAATTACTGTCAGAAAGCATTGTCTAATAATGAGGTATCTTCTGACATATTAAGTAATTTATTATTTACACCTGGAATATCAGTAATGTCGAACTTTATCGATATTTTGTTATATATCGTTAAGAAAAAAATACATCTTCTTGACAAAAATTTTAAAGTAGTGTATAATAAGAATCACATAAAATGCTTTCGAACTTTGCCATGGTGGTTGAAATCTAATCTATTAAGAGAATATAAATTTGCACCAACAAAATCTATTGTAAACAAAAATAAAGGGCAACATAAAAATGAAAATGATTTAAATGAGCCAGTGGTAAAGAAGCAAAAGTTATACCAAAATGATATGGTATGTGAACCACTGGCAACATTTTGTGAAAATAGTCGAAGTGAAATAATGAAAGTACATTGTATTTCGAAAAAGGTAGAAAATCATTTAAAGACACATAAACAACAAAGTCTTTTATTCGAAGAAAGATTAAAAAATGCTTTGTTAAGTGAAACTCAGTGTATTTAGTACTGTACAAATGTAATGCCTAACTTTTCTTTCTTATAGCTGTAACAGTGCCTCAAAGACTATTGTATTTTACAGTATTTGTTAACAAATAAGACACATTATAAATAATACATAATAATCTTTTTCTGTAAATTCTTAAATTATAATTTTTTGAATATGATGTATAATATGAGTGTGAAATATAATATTTATGGAATACTCATGAAATTATCCACATTACATTTAAATTGTACATAACATTTTGTATATATGATTTTGAATAAATACTTAAGTGTGGAAACTTTTTTTTATAACATTATTGAGCGAGCGAGCCGAAGGCGAGCAAAGCTCTTATACTTGACTTTGCAACTTCTTTGTCCGCGTTTTTCTTTTGCATCACTCAACCAATTCTCGTCAGGTTTTGCATGCACATGCGTATGTACATCCAGATGGACATAGAAAAAAAAAAATTTTAATCGGACTTGCCACGAACGAATAATCACCGAAAAAACTGATCCTAAAAAGTGAGGGTCCGAACACGCATATAAGGAAAATAAAAAAATGAATATTTCGGCACTTTGTTGACGTAGTATGGTTCCTGAGGCATTTAGAAACAAATTTCTATTAGGGTTTGATGCGTTTTGATGCCTAATAAAGCCAGGAAATCAATTTTTGTAGAACTCGGTCCAAAACGGTACAGGTGGCGCCATCTAGGGGCGAGCGGCGGAACTACGAAAAACTAAAATTTCGATTTTCTCGAAAACTAGGGACTTTTCCGAAATTCTGAGATATACAAATTGTTCCTTGTCGCCTACGGAATCGAACGAATCTAATTATAGCCCGCTAGGACCATTATTAAAGAAAATAGAAAAATAGCCCATTTCATGGACTAAAAAATTGGCGTCCATCTAGCGGTGAAAGTTGGAACTACAAAAACATAAAAATGCTATTTTCTCGAAAATTAGCGAACTTCGAGTACTTCTGAGGCCCGGAAAGTGTTATGTGATCGCATTAGAACCAAAATAAAGTAAAAAAAATTTCCATGAAGCTTTAATAAAGAAAATAAAAAAAATGTCATTTTATGGAGAAAATTTGTGGCGCCATCTAGCGGCGAAACTGCGAGTTCTGTAAGTATTAAAATTTGAAAATCTACCTTTATTCCGACAGTGACCTCTATGGGAAAAAATGATATACAGAGACCTTTAAATTTTAACGGACATTTTAAATGTCGAGTATTTTGTTCGTTTCAAACATGCTAAATACGCGATCAAAGAATTGAGTGTTTTCTGAGTGAAAAGTTATACTATTTTATTTGCTATTACATATATTAATAGCACATTTGCTTTTGTACGATTAAATATACTGTTCAACAAATTTAATATAAAAATAAATTAGTTCAGTAATTAGAAATGCGATAGCATCAAAAAGTTTGCCATAAAATTTTTGTTTTAGATTTATTTCATCTCAGTACGATAGATTTGATAATACACACTTGAAAACGAATATTTTTTAATTATTTATCTTTATAATGTCTCATTTAAAGTACATGAAAGAAATAAATAATTTAACTCGTATGGATGAAGCTATTAAAGGACCGCTTCCACGGTGGCAGAAAAAATGTTTAGAATCATCTAATTCCAGGTATAACTACTTATTATTTACTCTTTTTTATTACTAAAACTAATACATTTTTAAGCAGTATAATTGTTTATTTTTAAAGCATCAATCTTAGTGTTAATTCGTCACGAAAGACTGCAAATGCATCATTCGCAAATGTTACAACAGGAAAGACACCAACGAAAAAGAATGATTCTCGAACAAAAAAAACACCTTCTAAAGGTTCTAAAAAATCTCCAAGTATGATATTAGTTTTATAATTTGAAATATTTATAGTAAAATAATAATATTTATTCAAAACAAATATTTCTATGAAACTTTTTAACTGTTATTTAATTAGGTCGTACTTCTGCACTTACTAAAACACCTAATGGTGGTGATAGATTTATACCCTCAAGATCAACAACTAATTTTGATCTTGGTTATTATAAGGTATGTATAAATATATATGTATGTATTGTAGATTTATTATTTAAAGGTAATGAAGTTTTATTAAATATAAAATTTATCAATTTTAGATTCAACAAGCAAATGCAGAAAAAGATGAAGAAAAAGTTGACAATACGAGTCCTTCTAAAAGAGAAATGCAGCGGCTTATAGGTGAAAATTTACATGGGGGTGACATTAATAATATGAGAATTTTATCTTACCAAAACAAAGCACCTGCTCCTCCAGAAGGTTATCAAAACCCACTGAGAGTTATATATAGTCAATGTAAAACACCAGCAAGTGTTAAAGTTTCTACAAGATACATACCACAAACTCCTGATAAAATATTGGATGCGCCAGAAATTGTTGATGATTATTGTATGATTTTTAGTAATTAATACATAGTATTACATAATGAGACTAAAAATTGTGAATATAATTTCAGATTTGAATCTAGTTGATTGGTCAGAAAATAATATTTTGGCTGTAGCATTAGGTGCTAATGTATACTTATGGAATGCTGCAAGTGGAACTATTGAACAATTATTTGAATTAGAGGGCAATGATTATGTTTGCTCTGTTGCATGGATACAAGAAGGTCCTTATTTAGCAGTAGGTACCACAGTAGGAAATACAGAACTATGGGATTGTAGTCAAATGAAAAGGGTACGTGTAATGAATGGTCATGCAGTCAGAGTTGGTTCTCTTGCTTGGAATTCATATGTTTTGACCAGTGGATGCAGGTATGAATTTTCACAATAACTTGAAATTTAATATTTCTTTTTAAGTTAAAAAAAATAAAAATTTATTTAATACATAAGTAAGTTTTAATTTTTCGTTTTATATAGAGCAGGACAAATAGTGCATCATGATGTTAGACAAAGGGATCATTTGATATCGACGATTAACGCACATGCTCAAGAAGTGTGTGGCTTAAAATGGTCACCTGATGGAAAATATCTAGCAAGTGGCGGTAATGATAATATGCTTCAAATATGGCCTTCGATTTCTGGACAAAGTCATACGCACACACAACCGATTTATTCATTAAACCAGCATCAAGCAGCTGTGAAAGCACTTGCATGGTGTCCATGGCAAAATAATATTCTCGCTAGTGGTGGTGGTACAGCTGATAGAAGTATTCGATTTTGGAATTGTAATACCGGTAAATGATAGAATAATTATGTAAATTCACATATTATGTTATGATAAAAACATTAATTTAATTAAAGTACGTTTTTTCTGTATATTTTAAAACAGGTGCATGTTTAAATACCATAGATACCAAATCACAGGTATGTTCGTTACTATGGTCTACGACATATAAAGAAATCGTGTCCGGCCATGGATATGCACAAAATCAATTAACTATTTGGAAATACCCGGCAATGACGAAGGTTGCAGAACTCACAGGTCATTCTAGTCGTGTCTTACATTTAGCAATGTCTCCAGATGGTACTACAGTACTTAGTGCAGGAGCTGATGAAACTTTAAGACTGTGGAAATGCTTCCAACCTGATCCTCATAAAAAAAAGGAAACTAATGAAATAAAATCTGTCGCGTATAGACTTAAGCAATCCATACGATAATTTTGTTTATCGTGAAATAAAATATTGTATTTATCTTTAATGTGTAAAACATAGTGACCTCTTCTCTAATGAACAGAGAATTGTAGTATAATTTCCTGTTATTTATCAATATATTTAAAATAAACTTAAAATATTTAGTACCTGGAAGTACCAACATATTTTTATAAAAGTGTCAGTTTCCATATTATTTTTATAAAACATGGATTTTTCTTTTATATGCTGTAATAAAAATATTTGAAAGAAATATATTCTTTATTTTGAATACGAAAGAATTTTTTATACTTATTTAGTAATTATGTAGAATTTCTTTACTCTTCACTTGAAGAAATAGGAAAGATATTTCAAACTCCCCACCTGTTTACCCACACATTCAATCTCCTAGGTAACCTGAGGTAACATAATTTTGACCCAACCTTTCCTGAAAACGAAACAAAGATTTTAGAATATAGTAATTTGAAGTAGTTCGTATTACATTAATTTAAAAATATAAAAATCCATATAATAATATTAAAAAAAATGGATAAAGCTAATTCTAAGAATATGTTATTAAAATCACAGTGCAAATATGACGACCAAATTTGTTCTACAGAACATACAAAAGATGACAATGAACATGACTGGTGGGCAAGTGATAGTGGATCAAGTACTGGATCATATTATTCGGATACAGATAGGTACTCAAAACTTTAATTATTGTTATTTAATTTTTCAATAAAATATATCATTGTTGTCCAATTTTTAACAGTTCTACAGCAGAATGGGAGTCACAAATTAATTCGAATGGAGAATTATTTTACATAGAATCTGGAATCGATAATGTTATTGATGAACAATCTTTATTTAACGAAATAAAACATGATTCTCAACCAGAATTAATAAGACGTCGTAGTACAAGAGCTGGAAAACTCATGCGACTTATACGACGTAAAGAAAGTAAACGTTGGAGTACAAGAAATAAAAAAAGCAATTTCAATACAGATGGCAATACAGGAAATTTAGGAAAAGAAGGAAATACAATTAAGGAAGTAACATTTAGAGATTTTCAAGTAAATATTTTTTTTAATATTATAAAATTATTTTTATAGTAATAGTGTATTTTATATAACAATTATTAAATAATATGGACATTATAGGCAGGTGAAATTCGAGAAGTTACATTGTGGGTTGATCCAGATAAAAGACATAAATTAGGAAGAAGGGCCACATTATGTGAAGCATATTTTGGAATTATTCCAGGTGTATTTTCGGATAAAACAAGAATTATGGTTGCTGGATTTATACCAGATGGGGAAGCAATGAAGAACAAAAATATTAAGATTGGAGATTGGTTGAGAAGTATAAATTCAAACAATGTTACATATCAAAATTTGGATCACATATTATCTGAAATAACTACTCCAAAAAATGTAAAACATAAAAGTACAGTATTGTATCAAGTTCTAAAGTATTTTTGATAATTGAGGATTTTAAATTTTTATTTAGGTAATACTAGAATTACAGAGAGTTGCAGGAGTTGATGTTACAGAAAAACTATCTGGATTAAATTGTCCTAAGGTAATATTATTTCTAAGTAATTTATAAACAGTTATTGAATTATAGCAATTTTTTAATAATGTAAATATTTAATTTTCTTTATCAGCAATCTATATTAGTACAAAGACTAATGAATATGGAAGAAAGTAAAAATTTAATGGAATTGCTAATAGACTGTCCATATGGTGTATTATATGTACAAACTACAGAACTTTCGGAAATGGGAACAGAGTTTCAAAATGTTTTATATACATTTCCACGATCAGAAAATAAAAATATTCTTTCTATTTTATGCACAGCTAAAGGAGCTTTTATAACTCTCAATCATTTATTACCAGAAATAGGAGGTCAACAACCTATCAGGTATTATTGAATATTTATATTACTTTCTATAATTATATAGTTTTTGTAACAAATACACAATCACATTTTATAGTACAACTTTTGTAGTACAACAATACAGGTTGCAAAAGAAGAAATTCATATTGTATATACACCACAAGATGATAAGTTACTATTAATAGCATTGCCAAAAAAGTGGTAAGTTATAATTATATACATATTGTATGATCAACATATAGGTGTATGTATGGATATTATTATTTCAAATTACCTTTAATATCTTCAGTTGTAGTCTTGAAGAAGCAGTTAATTTGTCAGCTGATATAGTGAGAACTTTAGAATTTACATATCAGTCATTGGCAAAATGTTTTATACCTCAGGAAAATCAAACTTCTTTAGATCATTTTTTCATTTTAATTATTCAACGATTATTAGATATAAAGAATTATACCAATAACACACGATTGAGTACATGTGTTGAAATTCATAATGATATTGAAAGTATAGAAAGTTATAAATTTAGAAGTGCTTTCTCAGTTACAAATTTTATAGAATTATCAAGAGATGCACAAATTCAAATTGATGCTGCTTTAAGTGAAATGGAAGCCATGGATTACAGAGATTGGGTATGTATTATGTTATATATTAAAAAGTGGAAATAAGTAACATGAAATAAATAAACTTTTTTAGAATGAAGATCCTATGGACTGTCAAAGACTGTATACAATTCTAGGTAGCTGCATTTATCATAAACGTTATCTACTTGGATCTCATTTAACTCATGATGATTTAATCGAAGTAGACTCTTATCTTAGACAAAATTGTCTCTTAAATTTGGTAACTAATGAACCTGTAAAAAATCTTGTTATTTGGAAAAAAGTTTATCCTTCTTCATGCAATCGTGGAAATACAGAAAATAATAGAAGCGATCGACCCTTAATTCCTAATGGAAGATGGTTTTTACTTGTTGTTGGATATGGACATGATTTATTAGCGGTACTCCTCGAATCTGGTGGATGTACTGCAAAGTAACTTTTCATACATTTTATTATATGTTTTTTTTATAGTTGCATTTTTATAGATTTCATAAATATTAAGTTGATTTTTTTATAGATATAATGAAATTACTGGTCCAGATGTATTTTATGTAGAAGAAGCCCAAGAGACATTGAAACATATACAGAAAGTGGGAGTAACAACTTTAGCAGCCAAGTGGATTGCATCCAATACTAGGCCAGAGGTAATAACTTATGAAGATCCTGTATCCGTAAAATCATCATCAAGCATTACGGAAAATCTGTTGGGTTTTATAAAATCAACAGATGTACAAAATTCGCCTATCAAATCATATCATGCTACAACTAGTAGTAAAAAAAGTCAAGAAATACCATCAATCTTAAAAAAACGTAATATGGAAGAGAGTCCAATGGTTTTAGGATCTGGTAATATTCCTTTATGGACGCGTCATTAATTTACATAAATAAAATAGACGATATAAATTTAAAATATGTATAATCGTCTTGTTTCTGGTATAGTATATTCCTTGCACACATCAGAAGATTCATTGAGCCAAGGAACAGGTGGAATTAGCGAAATAAGTGATGAAGCCATGCCAATACTAGGGAGGCGAGCAACAAGAGAAAAAATTACTAGTGGTTCAAGATATTCTGATGACAGTGATTCTGATATTGATATATACAAGGTATTTATTTTGAAGATTCATACAATGTTTGTTTCATTCGTAATACTTATTGAATATGTAACTTATATATTATCGTAGAACGACGGTCGAATATTAAGTATGGACATATCGAATATACGAGAAAATCTTTTAAATCAGGCTGAATATTTAGTACCAAAAGTATTGACAGCAGGTGATAAAAATTATTTATATTATTACATACATCTAGATATGGTTGAAGGAATTCTTTTATCTTCAAAGTTGCCAGAATATTCAGAAAAGGATCATAAATTTCTCATTAATTTTAATAAATGTGTTCATATTATACACAGACTGTTATATAATACAGTAAGGTTTAAAAAAATGTTAAATTCAGATATGGACAAAACTGTAATTAATAAGAGCTTAATTGCTGTGAAAGAACATGGTGTGTTATTTGAATGGGAAAATTTAGCCTACTGGGTGGTTGGTCGATTATATACAACTCCTCATCCAAAGGAATTATATGTGTGTTATGAAGATTCTGCACCTCAAAATTTAATTGAAATAGCATTCAAATTGCATTCATTACATATACTATCATAAATACTTAATTTTTTTTTACTTCATTTTGCAGCATTTTTAACATTTTGAATATTAATATAAGATGTATTACAGTAAGTCAGAATATCTGTAAGTATTTGTTTATACTACTGCATTTCTTCTTTTTAATAGTGCAATGTTTTTTGATCAAAGTATTTGAAAAAATAAGCTTATGATTTATTCAACATTTATTTTTGAAAATGTACAAATATATTGTTAAATATTTTAATCTTTTACAACTATGGAACATCTACAAAATATAATAATATATTTACATATTATTCCTGTAAATTTACACACAATGTTCATTTACAATTACAAAATACTTTGTAATATATTCTTGTAAGTTAAACAAATATATGAGAAGCAACATTTATAAATATCATATTGTACAAAGATTTTAATGTTAATCCATTAGAAAATTATAATTTGGTATTACAGTTTTCAATAGAAAATAAATTAAGTTTTTTTTAATAACACACTTCATGTTGGAAATTCTGTTAATCTGCATCTAATAATATGTTACTTTCTTCGTTGTCACAATATTGTACTGTAGGAATTTTCACATACACACAAGCACCTGCCATTTTACTCCCATAATGTCCTGCCCAGTACTGTCTATCTACACCACTGTGACAAAATAATATTGCTCTTAACCCAGGACCATATCCTACAAACTCATGCGACATCTATCCAAATAAAGTAAGAGAATTCAATTAGTTTTATTAAGAAATGTATTCTTTGCTTTATAGTAATTATAAATAATACATACATAATGCCATTTATTTTGATTTTCCCCTTGAATATGATCCCGAAATTTAAAAGAATCTATGATTCTAGCTGCACTTATAACTGGATTATCTAATAATTTAATATCACAAGCATAAACAGCTGAACAATCCCAACGAGCACTATACCATTCGCTTACCTAGTTGTGCAAGAATTATATTAATTAAAAAATATCACTTACATATAATTGTATAATAAATGTAACTAGTCAAAAAGTTGTACCAATATTGGAGGTTGTACATTGTCTAAAATGTATGGCGTTAATCCTTCAAGTTCTAGATTAATGACTTGTGCTTTGGTGCAATCTGAATAAGAAGTAACAAAACAAAATTGCTTTCCCTCAAAAACAGGTTCATTAATTGGTAACATTGGTACTCCTACTGGAGGATTTTCTACTTTCCAATGATTTCCACCATTCTGATGAATTGTCCAATGCTTCTGTCTTCCGTGTTCTCCAGAATGATTTTTTATCAAATTTCTTTCAAAAGGTTTCTTTTTACATATTAGATAATATACATCCCAAGGTACATCTTTACCTAACAAAAGTGATCGGCCAACACAACTCTCTGCCTTTTTACGCCAAACATAACTTTGAATCAAAATTTTCCAACATTTACATACAAGTTGACAATTTAATAAAGATTCGTAATCAACGTAGCAGAACACTTCTGCTAATAATTCCTTTGGTAGGTATTTACCACCAACAATTAATCCATTATCACTCTTTTCATCAAACATTACGCGAGTTGTCATATTACTGACATGTAATTGCCCCACGGTTATTTAGTAATAAACAGTCACGTAAAAATTAACGGATAGTATAAACTTATTATTATAGTACACGATAAAATTAATTTCTCATCCCTCGTCTGTAATCTTGTTAACACAATAAAGTATATTTATAAAATTGATAATTGAATAGATAAACTTGAATTTACTAAAGAATGTTAACGTTTCGCACAGCTTGAATGACTCAGAAAGCCTTCCCCCCCGACCCTTCAATACACTTATCATTTCATCAGTCATATACTATGTATATATGTATATACATAAAAAATTATAAATTTTACTGCTTGACGGCACATCAAATATTTAATTGGATATCAGTTATGAGTTTGTTAATAAAATTTGCTAGAAACGATCATAATCATCTTGTATGGAAATAAAATAAATAAATAAAACTCATTGTTGGAATTCTGTATTTTGTACAAAACGTATTTTTCACGCGTCATCCGCATCAATATAAACCCTATGCAATAGATTACGTCAACCTCTTTTTACATTCATACAAACGACGGCATCATAATAAGAACTGGTCGAACCCTTTTCAAATATGTCTGTGTTACACCTATACAATGATTTACCTGCACAAAGTCGGCTTCTATTTACCGATTTTTTCCCAAATATTAAAATTATTACTGTGCCGGTAAACCTATACTGCACCCTACTATTCTATTATTAATTTTTTGATATTTTAAATCTTCCAATTAATTTTTTCATTGAATAATAAATGATAAGATAATTTAAAAAAATGAGGTGGGTATCATGTTAGAACAAATGTTGTTCCTTTATTTGATTTACAATAATATATTCAATGACAATGTGTAAAACATTTGCTTGAAAATATTTAAAGGAAGTAGGTACGTGGTTTTCTGACACTGAAAAGTGGCATACGATTCCTATGATGAATACGTTTTGGTAGTGGGAATTTGATTTTGGAATCATGGAATTGTTTAACTTGAGGTCTTCTACAGTTTGCAGCTTTTACAACTTCAACTTTAATAATTTGAATTGAATGAGCACGGGCACGATGACGGGCTCCCATGTCTCTGTAACATTGTGTTACTGCACCACTAACAGAAAGGTCTCTATATTCCCTGTACATGTTATGGGTCCCAGATCTTGAATCATATCTCAACCAAATTCCAAAATTCTTGATTTTTATTGGAGTCTTTTCTGCAATCTGAAACAATAGATGTTTAATTTATAGCACTTTGAAAATGTCTTTAATAACATATAAGTCGTTTAACAATTACCTGTTTAAGAGAGACGATTTCTCCTGTGGATTTTTTGAATTTTTTCAACTGTCGCAGAAAATACCAAAATCTGGACTTCGCAACAATAGCATCAGGTGCAAATATTCTCATTTTATACAATGGAGTAGTTTTTTCCTTTTCGGTCGGTAATTTACGACCGATCACCTCGAATTCTTTCAACTATAAAATCAAAATATTACAGCTTTTTATTTCGAAAATAATTCTTTTACTTTTATTTACTTAATTTTTTGAATATCTTTAAATTTCTAATATATTTACATATAATAAGGTTTGACATACTAAAAGATAACCTCATGAATTATATTTGCATGAATAGATTATTAATATCGATATAGATTAAAAACAGATTTCGTTAGTACATTTAATTTAATTTGGATTAAAATCTAACAAAGTATAATTCACAGCGAAGCTATGAAATATAAAATTGAACATGTGTCGCTTATAACATATAGGTTAAGTCTATATTTATATATAATTCGATATTGTTATTATAGGTACAATAAAACTTGTACAAAATATGAAATTTACTGATTACAGAAAACATATTTTAATAAACAAATTTACTAATTTCCACATAAAACTTTAAATATTTACTTACTTCGCCTTTGGCTTTCATTTTGGCGTGCGTGTACTACGACAAGAGACCGGAAAAAGATCACTGCAGTTTCGACAAAGTCGGAAATGAAGCCATTGAAATATTCAAATGTCACGAAAAATTTTTCATTTTATTAACAATATCATTGAAGTCGTTTCCTTACGAAAAATAAAATAGGGATTACTATTTAATAGATATATTTATTGTTATAAAAATAAATATATGCGAAAAATTTTGTTAAATTTTTATTGATAATTACAGTTACAACTTTAACTTAAGTAGTTTAATGAAGAAATCGCGGATTTTGTATACATTTACATAATCCTTGCTAGTCTTTTCAATATATTCATTTGGGTTTAAAAAATGTTTACATTATAAGGACATTTTACGACCCTCAATGGATATATCCACAGCCCTTTTAGTTGCTTTTATTCTCTTATTATCTATATAATTCTTCATGTGTCTTTCGAATCTATTCATTTGTTTTTTAGTACTCTGTTAAAACATTATAATAATTGTTTATTTCATATTATTATCTTAATAATAATTACATTACAAATAATTATATTTACCCTACTAATATCGACATCGGATTTCCAATCTGGTCTTATAACATAATCTTTATTGGAAGGTTTAGGAACTCTGGCTCTTCCAACCCAGCCGGGATCTCCAGGCCTTAACGGTCTAAATGAAACAAAGTTGTTAATGTTTAAGTAAGATCAATTATTCGTATAATAAACACCCGAAGGATTCATACTTAGCATCTCCTTTCAATGCTTTATTAATATCTTGCGATTTTTGAGAAGAACTACCATCTTCAGTTTTCCTTCTTTTCTGAGGTGTTTGTTCCAAATCTCTCTGTACCCTTTCTTCTTTCGATAGAGCCTTGAAATCAGCTGATAAATTAAATATCGGGCGCGCCCATTCATTAATTAATTTTCCTGCGCGTTCTTTATTTTCTTTAGTTTCTTTTGGATGTTTGTAAAGATACATAACAGCTTTCCCAATACCAGATTGTTTCAGAGAGGCCTGATCGATTCTTGGAAACTGTAATTCGTATCATTTTATATTTCGCACCATATACATATACGAATAAGAAGCTTATGAACTTACCTCCCATAAAAGTTTTAAAAGACTATCTCTAATCTTTAAGGAGGGTAATGATCGGTCAGGCATCGGAGCTAACCAATCTGTTAAGACTGATAATACGTTATGTTCTAAAAAGGCTAATTGTAAATCATGTTTTTTAAGTTGCGATAATACTTTCGGTAACATAGCAATTTTATTAGTAGCAGGCTTATTTTGTTGATTTAATTTTCTATCTTCTTCGGAAGCTGTTTTCATATCGGATAAAAGTTGCGCTATAATATCGTCATTGTCGTTGATTATGTCAATATCTTTTCTTTTTCGTCTTCGTGATTGTTCCTCTTTTTTACGAGCCAACATGCGATCGAAGTCTGATAATGTATCATCGCTGAAAATTAAAATATTTATCATTATTTTCAATCTTAATAGATTATTGATTATTTTAGTGAAGTTAAATTTTTCATTTATTTCCACTAATTGTTTGTAGCAGTCCTAATTTCTCATTAGATACTATTACTTACATATATCTGCTACTCCTGACAGACATATATTAAACATTAAAGTGAAATAATTCCATTTATTGGTAACCATATTATTAAATTTGTTCAACTTACAATCCACCTTCTGCTATAATCCCATCATCAGAATCTTCATTTTCTTGTTGTTCATTGATAATGCCTTCTTCTAACTGTTTGTTTTCCACTTCTTCGTCTTCGTCTCTCGCTGCTTCGTCTTTTTTCGTTTCTCCTGCATCATCGTCAGCTTCGTTTTCCGAATCTGTTATACCATGTTTCGACTTTTTGGTTGTTTTAACACCATCCTCTTCTTCTTCAGAATCGGATAAAACCCTTTTTATTTTTCTAACAGCATTTTCAGAATCTTCGCTACGACTCCTTGATCTTCTAGATTTCGATTCTGAGCGAGATCTGGATCTAGATCTTGATCGAGATTTTGATGGGGACGAATGTCTAGATCCAGCAGCCGACGCTGATCTTGATCGTGAACGTGATCGTGATTTAGAACGTGATCCTGCGAGTGATCCAGCTGGTGATCCCGAACGAGATCTCGAACGAGACTTTGATTTTGAGCGTGATCTCGATTTTGAACGCGATTTTGATCTTGACTTTGATCGTGATCCGGAACGTGATCGAGAACGGGACGCTTTTGAGCTAGACCGAGATCGAGATCTAGACTTGGACGATCTAGAACTGGATCTAGACCGAGACCGGGAACTTTTTCTTGAGTTAGGAGATCGAGATCCTTTCCGAGATCCTGACATCGATCTTGACTTTGATCTTGAAACCGATTTTCTTGAACCAGATTTCGAACGCGATCTCGACCTTGAACCTTGTCTTGAACCTGATGGTGTCCTTGATTTAGAACGTGACATAATTTTTGGTTCCGCGGACGGTGATCTGGACAAGGATCCTTTGTGAGATACAGAAGGCGAGTGTTTTCTTGACCCAGAGCCAGATCTGGATCGAGATCTTGATTTACGTTTATTATCCGGAGAACAAGTAGGAGATTTTGAACGTGAACTTTTTTGAGAATTGGGCGAACCTTTTCTAGATCCATTTATCGACGGTGATTTTGACCTCGTACGCGACCGAGAATTTCTAATATGCGTTAACGAACGGTTTTCTGGAGGTGATGGAGAACGCGATGCTTCTTTGCCGTTCAACGGAGACCCAGATCTACTACGTGATTTTCGATTTGGGCTAACCGAAGGTGATCGAGATCGAGCTTGAGAAGATTTTGGGGAACCTGAACGGGAACGAGACCCGGCAGTTACTTTTGGTGATCCAGGAGGGGAATGAGAATTTGATCGAGAACGCGGTTTAGAACATACCGATGGCGAAGGAGATCTAGAACAAGATCTTGAATGTATTTTTGGAGATGAACATTTAGATGGGGGATTACTTCGTTCTGCCGAAGTGGATCTAGACCTAGATCTCGAATGTTCCCGAGATGCTGCATCAGAACTTTTTCTAGATTCTGCTAAGGAAGAACTTCTTGATCTTGATGGTGATTTCGGTGAGCCTGCCAATTGCGGTGATCGCGATTCTCTTTGAATGACTTTCTCATCTGGTTCTGGAGATGGAGATTTGGAAGGTGATCTCGAAACACTTTTCCTTTCTACAGATTTTGAACTAGACCTAGACGATCTTTGATTCTTTACAGAAGAAGGAGAAACTGATCGATTTCGTGGAGAATGAGAGGGTGATCTAGAATAAGATTTTCTAGAATTTGCGTTTGGTGATGATTGATTAGACCTAAAAAAAGCATTTTAAAAATTATATTAATATTACACGGAATATTTATATAATTTTCTAAAAAAATACAATTTATTTACCTAGGAGAAGGACTAACAGAATTTGATTTAGATCTACTTCTAGCTGATCTTTGAGAATCTACGGATGGACTTCTAGACCTATCGTGTTCATCTTCTGAGTCACTTCTTTCGTCTGTAAATAAATTATTTCCACTTTAAAATTAAACTTGTATATTTACAGTATGTTACACAATAATACAAACACTAATTTATGTTCATACATATTTTTATGTTTATTAATAATCATTTCTTTTTGGAGCAAATTCATAAAATGTTAAAAGATTAAAATTACCTTCACGATTCATTGCACTTATATACAAATCAAATATATACTTTGTCAATAATTATAATTAACTATTCCGTCTTCAAAATAATAGTAAGGTAAAATAATTTTTAATATAATGCCTGCTAAAGCGTACAATAGCTTTTGGTTTGTAGTAATAAATCGAGGTTGACAAACATACTCAAAAAAATATTTACGTTAAAGTAACTTGAGAATCAAAGATTTGCTCTAAGCACGAATGATTGACCACTTTGATTTTGAGTTATCACTTTGTTAGGTTAGGTATTTAGAATCAACCATTCGCTGTGTTTCGTAAATTGAATACAATCACAGATGAGACGACAAACAGATCAGTAATGCAATTTAAATTTGCGCCACGCACGCGATCTATTGTTAAATTAAAGAATGAACCGAATAAAAGTATAGATTTTCCTTTGAAAACGGTTTTAGAATCATACTGAAACAAATAAAACGATTTACTGCATTAAAACATTTTAGATATGTATAAAAGAGTTCGTGCATGGGTGGGATTCAACTTTTCGCGCGCTTCCATATTCAGTACGACGCCATTATTCGATGAGTTCGGACGCAACCTTATCGACTCTCGTGATTTTTTTAAATTTTGTGTGAAATACTTGGATTTTTTTTTAAATTTTATTCGTATTGTGTTTTTTTGAGTGCGGTACTTCATATGTGAATATTTGTTAGCATTAAGATTCAAAATAATTCGTTCTATATGTGTATAATTTTGTGTATCAATGGAGACGCATGCGACATTACCGTTCGAATTGGAATTAGACGACAGAGTTCCTGAAACGGTAAAATGTACAATTTAATTGGCCTTATATTGGATATTTGCAAAGTTAATAGCGTTTATTTATTGTATATTGCTCAAATTGATTTGAAAGTGTCTAATTCCGAGCAACGAATCAAGTTAAAACTCATCTATCTTGTTAAGAGAACATATAATTCTTAAATTCACCGCTCCAAATCGTAGGGGGCATAACGAAGCATCTGACATTTTATACAGTTAGCATTTCATGGGACATATAGTTCCATAAAGATGATTGATCTATTCTGTACTTTATCTGTGATACAATTACCACGGACATTTATGATTTTGCATATTATAGTGTATTAAAAATTTATTACAGTGCATTCAAATGTAATTATTTTCGCCAAATTCATTGATTTTGTGTTATTGTGAAAGATATTTGTAAAAGTGATCAGTGTGATAGTGAAAATACGTCATTATAACGTTCCGTAAAGTTAATAAAAGTGAAAGAAAAAAGTGTCGTGCCGTTGCCTTCTACTTATCATATATTCGATGGCTATTTCGAAATGGACCGAAGATTGCCGAATTTGATCGAATGCGTTCAAGGAATAATATGGCGGCCGTGGCAAAGTTTTCGCCGCCCGTATGAGAAATTCGCGTTCGTTGATTGAATATTTTGCCGTAAATGTTAATGATATAGTAACCCTGTGCGGGTTACGTAGCTAAGGTCGCGAGTGAAAATTCGTTTGTGCCGTAACACGTCGAGGCAAACCGATGCGGGTCGCGCGCAATTTTTGTAGCGCAAATCATGACTTCGATGTTGTCCAGCTTTAATCCGCCTATCGTTAAACGATTGTTAGGTTGGAAGAAAGCCGAAGGAGAAGACAAATGGAGTGAAAAAGCTGTTAAAAGCCTCGTTAAAAAATTGAAAAAATCTTCTGGCCTCGAGGAACTCGAGAAGGCCATTACTACACAAAGTTGCAACACTAAGTGCATTACTATACCAAGGTACGCTCACTTTGCATACTTTTGTACGTGTATAGATATTGTAACCAATCCGAATTACAGTTTTTTCTTACTCAGTCGCTTTTATGCATCTTACTTGATGTAACGAATGAGTCACGTGAATGTTTTGTCTTTTGTATTTATTTTGATTTTTCTTAAAACACTCGTCGTAAAAAGCAGTTGCGCGTGTTGTTCATCGTTCATATTTATGTATTCATGTACTTGTGTGTATAATATCACGCTTGACCACTCATTGACGTTTCCCTTTTACTGCAAGACGCGTGCACGAATAATTATTTTCTATTTTTGTCAACGCATTTGTAGAATCCGGTATTTAACTAATTTTCATGTACTATATTATAAACGCGTGACAATCTGTTACGTCAATTACAATATAATAAGAATCGGTCGTTATTGAATATATATAAACCAAGAAACACATAATAATACTCCGTTGTATGAACCGTTTTTCGATTTTTAGCACTACATTGATAGCTACGCATTCGTTTTTCGATTTATATCGAAAAAAGCTTAAAAATGTAACATTGTTACGGAATCTTAATGCTTGAAGTTAAATATCAAGTTGCGAAGTGTTTGATTAGTTAAATATACATCTGATGTAGTTTTTTTGACAACTGTGTGATAAAAGCGATAATTAAAGAGTAAAGAAGCAAGCGAACATAGTTTTCGATTTCAAACTACTTTATTCGAAAATTACGTTCGATTTAAGTTATCGAATATCCATTATCGTTATTCGTAGTTCGAGCATTATTTTATTTCTTTTTCTAATCGATTCGTTAGTAGATTATTGGCATCCACTGAAAATCACTCGGAAATATACAATTGACATGTGCAACAAATTCGACTTCTAACAAAGAACGTTATGCACGTTACCAGTATTCATAATATGTTCAATGATTTCCTTTTCTTAATTGTAAAAGATACAATACGGTATTTTACAGTTGCGCGCATTAATTGTACAGTATTATCTTAACAATTACGTAATAAATTTAAGGAAGATGCGATCACAAACAAACTAATAGTCGAATGAAAGCAATGATCGTGAGTAGCGCGTAATGTTGTTTAAAACATGGTTGTATCCGTGTTTCGGATGTCAATGAGAGGGCAATTAACACGCGCAGTCTCCGTTTCCAGTTGAAAAATGTACCATGAAATGAGACACGTGCGTATCACGTTGTTGCACTATTCATTTTTCTTCGAGGGGATCTTTTCGAGATTAGGTCGATTTCACTTTGTATTTAGCATGTACTTATCAATCGTGCTTCCCGATTGTCTAGAATAATCGCGTGTTTGACGCGTAACCTTTCGCTCTTCTTGTTGTTCCATTCAAACAGGTGTAACAAACGGTTTCATGCCTAAATACGGCGTACGACATGTTTTATCTTATCGCTACGTCAGATAATATGAGCCACGTACAACGTCAAATTAATAAAATTACGAACGGGGTAAAAATTTTTGGTGCGTGGCTAGACCATCATGATACAATCATCGATAAGTTTCATCCGCGAATTATGTTCGTATACGTGGTTAAGAATCTCATAAGTGTTCGAATCTTTTCTTACGTTCTAAAAACAAATTTAATCCTTATCGCAATAGAGTCATGATAAAACACTGATTTTTCACCGTATCTTCTAAGTAATTATTAATAAAAATTTGTGCGAATGCGCAATAATCGATACTGCAGCGAAAGGATCGAGAGGTTGATCGTGTCAGTGTAAAATAAAATATCTAGCTAGTTTCTGTTGGTATCCAGTGTAGTCGATATATCGTTAAATTGGTCGACAAATATCGAAAATACATATTATCGTTAGCAGGAATCGTAGTCGAAATAGGATCGAAGTAGCTGGTACGAATAAAGTCGCGTATCGGAACTGATTGTAGCGCTGTATGTATGGCTCGTAACGATTTTATTAATAGTAATCCTAGCCACGTCGTCGCGTGTTCAAGGATATTCACGAAAGAGAGGGAAAGTTTGTCATCGAGAAAGGCAGATCCTTCTGTAATTCGAACGAAACGCGTGTATTTTGCGTTCACGCAAAAAATACATGGTATTGTTCGATCGATCGAGATGCAAGAGTTGTATAAAATTCTTTCGATACTCGATTCGATCGTTTCTTTAGCCGAACTGACGTAACGTCACAGTTAACCTTTTCATGGCGTATTATCTATACGTATATACGGCATGGAAAACTAGCTATAAAAAAACGTACGTATGTGCTTGTCGATTGAGATCATCGAAACGATCGGAACCTGATAATAGATTCGTTACTAGGAAAAGGTGAAGTAGCTCCATATAAAGAAGGCAGTATTATTAACAAATTTTTTTTGGTTATATATCGCGAATCGATTCGTCTTTCAATGCTCTCGTAATGTCACGACCAAGACTTAGATGGCGCGAAGTACGAGAAGAATATAACTCTGATTAAATACGTGTGCAATTTAGAGGCTTAAGAAATGGGAGATCCATAAATTCTATACTGTCCTCTAACGTACAAAAAATTTGCATCGTCACAAGCGCAGAATAAAGATCTCGATTGTCCGAAAAGTTTCTGCCATTGTTTCTTAAAGGTAACGTAGATTTGATCGTACTTCGTTTCTTGTATCCAAAAAGAAACCAATAGATCGATTAGTCAGACCGTTTTCGCGTCGCTCAGGATACGTCAAAGAATCGACTCCTCCGCGTTATCGAGTGAAAGTTACTCGTTATTACTTTCCCCTTTTTGTTCCAAAGAATTATTAGACTTTCGATATTTTTAATCGAACTGCAACGAGATCGTGGGATATCGTCGTTGCGCAACGATCGATATTTTTGATAGAGAAGTCCTGTTCCAATCGCAGGATTGCACGCGTTATCGAGATACTCTTGGAGCGGTTGCTAAGTTAATTGATGTTTACGTAACACAATCGATACGGTACGTAGCGTTTACGTAGAAACCGACGACACAGATTTCGCGGCATAGCTACGTTTTCCATCGTATGCAACGAAAATCTTCACTCTTATGTACGAAGGCGTTTCTTATATTCCGTTTAACTTTTTGCAGATCGTGAGCCGTGCAACGATTCAAGTTCGTGGAATTGAAATACGTAACAAACGAGGAGTATCTTATTTAGGTTCACCGTTCAAAGTCCTATGCCAGATTAATACGAGTTCTTGTTCGCGTCTTAATACATTCTGTTACCTAAAAGCTAAAACGGAAGGCAAATGTTTTGAGCGTCTTGCATGGAAATGAGTAACGGTGCAGAGGAAAGAAAATAGGGTAGAGAGTACGTCTAGGGTCTAATAATACGGTAGATTCTTCGATGAACTCATAAATGATGGTCATCCCTGACACCGTGATAGGCACATCAAGTATCCATTAAAGAGATCATGAACATCGACGTGTACGGCAAGAGCCTAAGGAGGAGTATAGCGGGAGTCTAAGGAAAGCCTAGCAAGGACTAGAGAAAACTCGAGAAAGCTTAGAAAGTTTAACGAGAAATTATGCAAGGGTATAGAGGAGATTAAATAGAGCCTAGATGAGCTTAACGAATTATCTTAAATGTGACTAAAATTAAAAATCAACTAAAACGACTAACATAAGATAGTTGGACGGACATTATAGGAAATGTTGGAATTGCGAATAATCTTGTGACCAATCGTAAACTCATTTACTTTGCTCTAGAAATTAAGAGAGAAAGCGACAAGTACTAAACGAAGAATGCTCATTCATTAGCTAGTTTGGCTTATTGATATTCGACGAACGAACGAACCGGTAGTGTAAAAGAAATTTGCATTCTCGCAGAAGAAAGAAAGATCCTTGTGGCGCGGCTACTTTTTTGTTTTACGTTTGGAAACGCTAAGGAAGTTAGAAACATCATTGTAGCTTCTCCGTGCTCGCGTGTTTGCACTAGGGGACAACGGCCACTACGTAACAGACTTCTGTAAATACGCTACAGTTGAAAAGTACGCTTTAAAAATGTAGAGTCTGCACCGCGTAAGTAGCGCGTCTCGCTGCTTCCATTTCTCTGTTCCTTCTTGAAAAATGTGGGAGCACATAGCGTCCGATTCATCGTATAATCGACGATTAAACCCGATTAAGTCGCGCCTCTCGTTTGATGCATACGTGGAAAGAATTTCACGGTGAACGCGACTCCGTGTCCTCGAGCAACCAGGCAATGCTGCATGCGTCAGCAAGATGACTGAAATTGCAGAACGAACGGAGACCGTAGATGACTACGTTCCCGTGATTCTCCGATAGAACTTTGCTATTCGCCTAGCCGGATTCTTTATCTTAGTTATCTGTTGCTTAATCGCGCAACCCGAGTTTCGTTCCGAGTTACGTTTTTTAATCAGTGAGTATATTATCCTTTTCGACGTCTTCGTGTTAGAATTATTCTCGTCGAACTTTCATTCTGTTCACGGTCGATAGGAGAGAAAAAGACGCGATGTATAGGGGTAACTTTCGGCGAAACGATTGGTAAAACACGCGTGAACGATGGAGTTATTCGATGTTTCACAGAGAATCGACACGTTATTGTTGTCAGCACGTTGTTGCTACGTTACAACTGGCCAGAACAAACGGTTTCATGCAAAACCTTTTCTCGAACGACTGCGGGAGACAGCTGCGATTCGCATTCTGTGCTTTCGTTCGCGTGTACAAGGTGTTTCATAACGCGTACCCTCCATTTTTCATAACGAACGAAGAACACCAAAATATTTCCGTATTTTCCAATGATTTCTCGGCGCAACTACCGAAAAGATGTTCGACGTATTCTCGACTAATCGTGCAACACCGACAGTGTAGGTAATCACGGATCTATTGGTAAAACCCAATAAGTACTTTATCATTCTGCTGCGATGTTTTCAAGGAAAATCTTTATCTTACCGTGACTCGACATTGCACATGTACACGTGTCACTATTAATAATCGGATTTCATCCACTATGTACGTATTAACTTCAATTGTATATAATTTCGTAAAGGTAAACTATCTTACTCGCGACGCACTCGATACACGAGTTATCCACTAGCGTCTGTGCCCAGTATCGCGTCACTTTGCGAGGGAGTACTACAAGTTCGTACTATAATTCTTTGCCGAAAGAGTGCTGATGGAGCGTAATTAAATCCTTCGTTTCTGATAGAGTTCGTAAAGTTTCCGAGGTGCGATCAGGTAAATAAACATTGAACACGGTCTGTTTGAAACTTGCAAGATTGTCTGTCATTGCCTGCATAGGTTTTCGGTAAAGCTTCGAATCATATTAATAAAAAATTTCTCAAGTACGTCGATGCCATTATCGTTCATTGAACGATTTTCGATGCACAGGCGCCAGTCGCGTAGAGTCACCCCCTGTCGAGAGAAAAACGTTGAACCGAAGGTAGGACGGTTGGTTTCTTTTTGTCGGTAGGCGCCACCGCTTCCGGCGCGGCAGACGCGAATACAGAAGTCGAGGGAGCAAGATTAAAGCGAGAGTTTACGACGGTGAACTCTTGTTGCTCTTTTTAAAGCTCGATGTTTCACCGATGTTACGATCAATGGCGATAAACGCATTCAGGAAAGTTTTCGCTTTTACCACTCGCAACTTCGCGCTCGTTAATCAAATCGAGTCATTGATATTCCTTGAAACGATGCAAATTATAGGGTTGATTGTTCGAAACTTCAGATTCGAATAAGCCTGTGTACGTTTAGGAAAGATTCGTGCAGCCAATTCGGGTCAGAAGTAAACTAATCGAGTGGTACGCATTCTTTTTTCACGAAGGCCTAGCCCGGGCGGTGTCGGTGACAACGGTGTCCAAGGAGTACGCGGTAAAGGCCTGCCACACGTTATCTACTGCCGACTTTGGCGTTGGCCGGATTTGCAATCGCACCACGAGTTAAGGGCAATCGAGCATTGCGAGTACGCGTTCACGCAGAAGCGGGACGAAGTCTGCGTGAATCCGTACCACTATCAACGAATTCAAACACCAGGTAGACGATAGTCAGTTTCCTAGGTGAATCTTTTTGTCAATGGGAGCGAAACTTTTAAATCGTGGAATGAAATTGTACAGTTTTGCCGGCTATCCTCGTGCCACGGCATAATTTAGCCGGGGACGAGTCCGTCCTTTACAACACTTCCCTCGAAGAACTCAGCGTTAGCGTACCAGAAAACACCAACTTTCACGCGACCTTAAACCATCAACACCACAATCAACAGAGTATATCGCAGTCATCGCAGCAGCAGCAACAGCAACAGCAGCAGCAACAGCAGCAACAGCAACCAAATAATCCGTATCAAGGAATGCAGGTTGGTGTCACAGTGACGTTAATCGGTTTAAGTCTGTTAGTCCAGGCGAGGAAGTACAATCCTTGTCAGCAAAGTAATCCTGTATGAGAATATAAAGCTTTTCCTTTTTCAGAGCATGCAGGCTACAAGTCCGGCTAGTGTCGGTAGTTTAGGAAGCGTTCAAGGTTCGCCGCATCCGGCTCCTGGATCCATGGATCCTCCTGCCGATACTCCTCCTCCAGGTTACATAAGCGAAGATGGCGATAACATGGACCACAACGACAACATGTCTTTGTCCCGTTTGTCTCCCAGCCCCGTAGACGCACAACCGGTTATGTATTGCGAGCCAGCTTTCTGGTGAGTACGATTACTCCTCAAGAATGTTATACGGCTTAAAACTTTGTATTTGATATTCTATTCCTTTTGCATCGAGTAGGTGTTCGATAAGTTACTACGAATTGAATACGAGAGTGGGCGAGACTTTCCACGCGTCTCAACCGAGCATCACGGTAGACGGATTTACAGATCCAAGTAACTCCGAACGCTTTTGTTTGGGACTATTGTCGAACGTGAATCGTAACACCGTAGTCGAACAGACAAGACGACATATCGGGAAAGGAGCTAGACTTTACTATATCGGTGGAGAAGTATTTGCGGAGTGTTTGTCCGACTCGAGCATCTTCGTTCAAAGTCCTAATTGCAATCAGCGCTATGGTTGGCATCCAGCTACCGTTTGTAAAATACCACCTGGTAATATAACTTCGCACAACTTGTTACATAATTAATCACGATGTTCAGAACTTTGATCGCGTTTCCTTGATCGTTTGTTGCAGGCTGTAATTTGAAGATCTTCAATAACCAGGAATTCGCTGCGTTGTTGTCGCAATCGGTTTCTCAAGGCTTCGAAGCGGTGTACCAACTGACTCGCATGTGCACGATTAGAATGAGCTTCGTTAAGGGTTGGGGAGCGGCGTACCGTCGACAGACCGTCACATCGACTCCTTGTTGGATCGAGTTGCATTTAAACGGTCCTTTACAATGGCTCGATAGGGTACTCACGCAGATGGGTTCACCGCGTTTACCCTGTTCCTCGATGTCATAAGGTTGCATGCCTTTCTCCTTCGTGGATACGCGACAAACACGGGCACGAGAAACGAGGAGCGACTCGTGCGTCGTTATCGTCGTCATCGTCATCGTTCAATGGTTTTCCTTAACGCGAGTTCGTGCTTTCGTTCGGATTCTCAGCAATGATCAGCTACAGTGACAAACAGTGCAAGAACAAAGGTACGATCGTTGTTCTCGTGAAATCTGCTAGTGTTATCTGCTCCTTTTGATAGTGTAAAAGCAAGACCTTCATGTTCGATGTGTTCGAAGGAGAATTATTTGAAATAGACGAAAGAACTCGACGATCGATCCGTCATGAAAACGCTCAAAAGTGCCGAGAGATCGCGATGATTTGTCGATGTTTCCCTCGTATTCGGAGGAAAAGGACGATGTACGGAAAAAGGACAAAGCAACAGATTAAGTTACGACGAGCACGGAAAACCTATAGTTTGATAAATCGGGACACGTGGGGTACAAGTGTATCGAGTAACGAAGCAGGTAAACATCGTTAACGAGCTATACGATGATTTAACCGAATCAAGAAGGCGAACGATTTGGCGCGTTTCTGTGTGTATATGCATTCGAGTACGTGTACATGTACATACGTAATACGCAGCAAGAAAAATACGCCCAGCCTTTGCATATTTTTATCGCTTGTTAAATGAACGCACTTCAACAGTACGAGGTATTGAGAAAGTAACGTTTGTGGCTTACAGAGATGATTTTATGCGTTAAAAACTTTCGATGTTCTCTTCTACTCGACGAGACAAAATTCTGCGAAAAGTTCCTTTAAAATTTGTCTCTTTAGAAAAGAAACTTTGACTCTTCGTATAGGATTTCAAATAATTTAATTGTTGGATCGTTTTTGCAAATGTTCATTCGGCATAAGGCGAAAAATTGCTTCCGTAAGTCATTATCATTATTTTCTTAAAACTATGAACATAAAGTATACGTCAGCTTTTACAAATACGAATAATATTATGTACGTTCACTTTATAGTCTGCCAAGAAGAATTTCTTATAAAACGGGCAAACGAGCATGTTCGTAGTGCCCGTAGCAAAGTTTCTACTAGCGCTGGTCTATTCGGAGTTTCTGCAGATATTTTGTTTTTTCTACGAGTCAGACGACAAAAGGAAGATATACGTAATATACATTGTCCGTTTCGCTCGTACTATACATGGTAAGATCCAGTTACGATGTTTAATATGTACCTAACTGTTCACGCGTTTCGTTCGCATTGTTGCAGTCTCGAATGGACCAGAAATGTTTGAATACCTTTATGGACGATTGCAGCAGGTACCGATAGTTACGTGTTTCTCTGTGTATTTTGGAGGTTTGAAGATCGATTAGTAACGCGGAGACGGTTCATTCATTGATCTTGATATCGATAAAAAGAGTATTGCAAGCGAGGAAAAAAAATTAAAAATGTTAACTACGTATTAAGGTGTCTTATCTCGAATAATTGATATTCTTCTTAAGAAATAAGCGCTATGTTTCTTAACGTCGATAGAAGTACTAAGGGTGCACCGATTATGTGGTAGACAAAAGTAACTATTTACTTGATATATCGCATGAGAGAACAAGTTTGATTAACTACCTTATCAACGGGACTATGATCAGTAGTATCATTTTCAGAATACATAAACTATTTGAAGTCGGTAGAAGAAGAAAGAATATAGTGGAATCAATATTATCGTTTACAAGAATATCTGAACGAGATCATAAATGTAATTTTTATTTCATGCATTTTTGCATCATTTGTAGTAGATAATAATATTCAATTTTTAATTCGTCCGTCGATAAGGTGTTAATTAGTCAGAAGTAACGTACACGTATACCTGTCGAGTGTTGAAAAAATTTTTACGGCCCATACAAAACGTTAAAATGCACATTTTCGTGTTGATGTTCATAGTAGCGAACCACGCTCGTTAGTTGAGGATCGTTACAAAAAGTATTTGGGTTCGTTTTACGCTAGAAAAATATGTTTTGCATTTAAAAAGGAAAGAAGAAAAATGACCGATTTGGTCTAGCGTAAGCTCTTACAAGGTTCTGTAAGAAGATATCGTAGATATACGGAACAATGCATAAAATGTGGTACAAACGTATACAGGATGATTTCTTGTTGAAGAATAAAAAGGAAACATTTATTCTGCGATTACAATTTATTTTTTAAAGAGGAATCACTTTGCGCACGTTTGTAACATATAGCTAATTGCGTCCTATATGGCAAAGATACGCATAGAATTTTCGAATAATACGAAAATATGAATTTGCGAAAAAAATGAAAAATTTATTCTGGAAAAAGGATGCAAAAGAAAGAATATAAGAATGGAGATGAGAGATGTTTATAATATTTAAAATTATTTGATAAATTTTTTCAGAATTTGGAATATTAAGGTATTTTTACTTTATTACAGATTTTATACTATGCTTTATATTCGAGATTATATCCAAAAGTAAAGGATTATCGGAGTTTTTAAATGCTGAAACGTCTTTCACGTAGGATATATTGGAGAAAAGAAACGAGATGAAAAAGTTACGTATTTTATTATATTATGAAGTATATATATGTATAAATATTAGTATCGAGATACGAACAGTCTTTGCACCAAGTGCATGGATTTAGTTATCTTTTTTTCATTTTCTTTTAAATAAATTTTTAACAATAACATAAACGACTTCTATGGAGTCTTCTTACGTATGATGGGGGCCAATCGCACGCACAGAACGCGAGATTTGATCTCGATTAAAGACGTAAAACGTTTCAGAGAATCAGGTTCCTCCTTGTTAGACGTTTTGTTGTTCTCATCAGTTTGTAATCAACGCTTTCTGTTCATTGGAAGTAAACGATACAAATTGTCGAACGTGGATCGATTTAGTTCTTATTACCCGTAGATCTGATACAAATTAGAACGATTAAAGGAAAAAAAGTGTCGAGCGTTTTTATTAATAATTAAGATTAAGACAACGTTGTCGATCAGTTATCGTGAAAGTAAAAAAATCTATTTTTTTAACACCGTTTTAATCTTTTCGATTAGGATGAAACTTTTTAAACATTTTTTAAGAGAAGGAAAAATTATCTTTTAGTCGAGTGTATATATTCATCATAAATTGTTTTATATATTTATATACAATTTAACAGCTTATACACCGTGCAGTCGATCTACTTTTCATCGTGATTTCGTTTGTTTCGTTTTTTTTCTTTTTTGAGTCTTCAGATGTATTCATCTATTGTATCCAGAAAAGAAAAATACTAGAGATAGGTACATGGTACGCGAATTCATAAACTTGCCAGCCATCAATTTTTACCGAATCGAAATCATAGTATAAATACGATTAATATCGCGTTATCTATTGATTGAAAGATTGACGAAAGAACATGTTCGGACAGTAGCTATGGAACGATATGGGGTGCAGGAGGAAAAGACGAAATTTGAAACGAACTCAATATTTTATTTTATTAGTGTTATAATTATATAGCCTGGGAACGCGTTTGTCTTTCGCGAGAACATTTTTCCTCTTGTAACGAGTAAACATATATTTGAATGTTGCTTTAATGAGAATTGTACAGGTTCTTTGAAAAAGAGATGTAAACTGCGAAAGCAGTAAACTGTGATTTACGTGAGGTTTCATTATAAGAGCCGGATTCCGTAAAAGCCTTCGTCATCTGAAATTTAAACAGAGCGCTCCAAAACTTGACCATTAAACCATTTGTTTATACCTTGAGAAATCTTGGTATTACACAGTAATATAGAATTTTAAAATTTCTTTTATCGTGACAAATTTTCATGGTGTACATCCGTTTTGAGATATAATTACACAAGTGAAAGACTCGTTGGAAAAGGATCACATGCCACATCCCCGACTTTTTCCTGTATTTTGTATCATCGACAAGTTTTTAACAATCTGAAGAAAAAACTAGTTTTCCTGTATGTTTATGGTACTGTGACATGTGTTATTTTTCCAAGAAAAAAGAAATTATCCGCAATTGAAGTTTTGTACGTATCTCGTAAAAGCGAAACGCGATATCGTCGGGCAGCTCGAATATTTGAATAAATATTAGACGATCGTTCTTTTCTGTTGATAAGATGCGCTTCTTCCTTGGATTCGTGCGTGTCGGTCCTGTCTCGCACAACAAACCATAATAATTACCGAACGAAATGCACGTGAATCGTGTACTGTCTGATTGTCGAACGATTGACAATCACTTGCCTCCCTGCCAGACTGCCACTAGCGTATTAAATATTAGGATAATACGAACAACAGAGGGGAACACGAAGAACTTGTTTTTGTCAATTTTCTTCGTTATCCTCGAATCTCCTCTCCTACTCGTTCGTTTCGCGTTAGCGTAAGATCAAAAACAACACGTTTTGTCCATTTTATAATCGGCGAAGGGAAGAGACAGATAGATCATTGAGAGACGCATTTAATTTGCCAAAGTATGTTAAGCGTAGCGATTGCCAAAGTTTCTTTTAAGTACAAGATAAATATCGAGTCGAGTAGTCAGTTGGTAGAGTTGCTGTTACACACAAAAGGAAAAATTGTTACAGTTATCTGGACAATTCGCTAAATCGTTACCAAGTGTTAATAATCGTCGTTAACGTTTCTCTCTTCAGTTTTATTCTATGTTACGTTTAAGTTCTCTTGACCTATCGAAGGATCGAGCGGTCCGACGATCGTGAAATTGTTAATTCTATAGCTACTCTTTATATTTGTATATTCCGTGTGCAAGTATCCGCATGCACGCAAAGGGAAGGATCGACTAAAAAGAAAAAAAATATAATGTCTAGAAATCCAATATTTTTTTACACGCTAAGGAACATTCTTTTACGTACGATGATATACATATATTCGATAACGGTTCATCTCGTCGATGTTTCCCTGTGGTGTGGATGAGGGCGTTTTAAAAGAACGAAAATTTGTGAGATTAAGCGTCGAGAACTTTTGTGAAAGAACGAATGCGGGAGAATATTAGACGAGACGTTGCGACAAGAAATATCGAGTGTGAGACTGTATAATAATTATAAATAAATGTACACGTTAAGTCTAAGGATAAAATGATTCTGCCGCTTTTTTTTATTGCTTCATAGTGGAGAAGGAACTATGCGCACCTCACGGTGTTAACTAAGTTACCGAAAAAGTAATCGTTTCGGCATAAATATCTAACTTTAAAACCGTACAGTTGATAGGATCGAAGGGTAGGGGAAAAATAAAAATATTAAAAAACAACGCTCGTTAACGATCTTGTGGTAACAGAAAATTTGTATGATCGACTATGACAATACAACCTATATAAATGTACAAATGTGCGGTTAAATAACCTAGCCATCTTTCGTGACTCAATTTAGTAGCAACGATCGCAATAAAACCTCGATGACGAGTTGATTTTCCTATTCAAGAGCTAATATTGTTAAATCGTATCCCTACGAATCAATAATAATCGTTTAAAATCATTAAAGGGCAACCATTTCCTTTCTACAATAACTCGTATAGAATCTTTTCTTGTATTTTAACGGTATCCATTAAATCGACAAAAGTTTCTTCATTATCATTTTCTATCATTCAAGCGAAAATATGTTATATGCTTGTTTTTTCCGTTGCCCTCCAAATATTAATATACTAACACGTGCTTGTTACAAGAATTATTTAGATCAGACCGATATAATGATAATGATTGAAAATACTTTGCTTTTGTCAATAAATTAATTATACAAAATTCCTAATGCTAGGTAACTATCCTAATATGATCATAAATTTCCGTTGAAAAGATGTTGCATACGATTCGAATGTGTAAAATCATATTGATGAGATAGTCTTCTTGTCTATTTCTCCTTTCCTCTTTAGGATCGATCCGTTGCTGATGATCTTAGCAAAAAATTGTTACAGTTGACCTCGCTGATCAGATGTCAACATTTTCGTGGCAGAATATAAATTCATTGATAGACCAACAGCTGCAAGGACGATCGCCGACATCATGATGTTTCGTTCGATGATATTTTTACGAACCATAGACGTCACAGCCCCCTTAAATAAATAATACAAATTAAAATCCGCAATGTATAACGAATAACGTAGTTCAATCTTAAAAAGGGAGATCAAAAAGGCAGATGTACAAAAGTCAATGTTATGTTAGATTCGCTAGACGGTAGAACGAGCAACTTAGTTAAGAGTAGAATCCGTTGTTGCCAACTGACGCTTTCGAATGTATTTTGAAACAAGGCTCTGGTTTTAGATAGAACAGATATTGTCTTTCACCTGTTGAAACGATAATCTAAGGGCATAGAGGGTAGATTGAGTTAGATACATCTCAAAACCACGGCTTTGGCTTCGTACTCTGAAAAAAAAAGAAAAGGTTATTTTATATTTGTTATGTAAGACGTAGATTTTAATTCTTGATCATCCAAAATTTTATCGCGAAGACACAACAATTCGAAGGTTACAAAATAATTGTAAACATGATGCTATATTATGAAGTTTAAATAGAGAATCATTTAAAACATCTTAAATGTAAACAAGAAAGATATTCGCTTATACAATAGTTATCACTTGAATTGTTGCATTAAATCTAGTGGGAGTTAAGTCACCTTTCGAGTGCAAAGGGTTAAATTTATAAACGAAGGACGTGTAGAATTGGAGCTCATCCAGACTGGGCTTGTTTATCACAAAATGAATGGAATGAATAATTGACATTTATTCCAGAAGATAATTGTTAACCGTCTTTAGAACCACTTTCGAGCGATACTCGAAACGAAACAATGAAATGTAATAAACAAATTTAAATTCTCAACTCGAGATTTTTAAAATTGTTCCAATTTTTTTATTAATTATTATTGAAAGCATAATTTTGTTACCTTACTTCATTTTTTAAATCGGGAAATTGAAAGAAACATTTGAATATTTGAATGCGCTCATGTGACATAACTCGATTTTATTCAATCTATCGATACTAGATGTCAAATGCGTACATTCAGTTTAAAAAATACTGTTACGTATTAGATAGCATTGTTTAACCTCTGGAGAACACGCTACGTCAATTTGTGTCTACTTTTTACAATAATGTTTTAACAAAGTTATTAAATACTGACACATATTAAATACTACATTGATATATTTTTATAGAGAAATATTACTCATGAAAATAATACGTAAGATCGAACATATTTTCCTTGGTAAAATCTAAACAGTTACATCGTTAGATAAGCGACCCTTGGCGCCGCTCAAGATTTTAACAGACTGGTTAGACGTAATACGTTATTCTTTACTTTACTATTTCTTGTCTAACGATATAAGATATGAAATTTAATGATATAAAAAAAAAATATCAAAATTTATGTACGATAATTAATTTTATTTCGAACAGTTGTTAATATTTTTAAAAAGTAGAAGGTTATGGTAAGAGGAGAACGGATATTGTGCCTCACGGAAAAGCCATAACAAACCATGCTCTTATCAGTTGAAACGTTGATATACGCATGACCGCGTGTGCGGCGTTTTTTTTATCATTATGTACATTAAATATTATGAATATAAGAAAATATATGATATAGGGTAATACGTAGCATTACTATTGTAAAATATTATTTTATTTCAGTAATGATACTGTTCAAATTATATTCTGTTTATCGATTGACAAGAAAATACAGTGCGCGGTACAGGTAACCTAAAAACGTATAACAGAAAGATTTTGATGTTAGTTCGATTAACTTTCAAAATTATAAAATAAAATGAACATAAGATATTGATTAAAATGTTCAAAGGTATTACAGAAAAAACTGTTTAATAATTATTTGTAAAAATGATCGGAAAAGCGGTGTGTCTTTCTCGTAAGTTCAGTTACGTAATCGATACTGATACCCTTGCACATAACAATATAAAAATTATAACGAAACTAGATTTCGGAACAACAATCACTCTACCCACCGTTGTGTGCGAAACTTGCCGATGAAAGAGAGACGATCACTCAGGTTCACTTCCTTCGCTCCGGCCTGTTTTTTCGCCACTGCCGATCCCTCGTTCCTAGCTAGTGTTTTACGCGCGATACGCCATCTTCCAATTATTGATTATACTAACAGTTCTATTCGACACGATTCACTGAAAGTCGAGAATATTCGATAATACTGACTTATCATATGACGGTACATACCTACGAATGTTTCTATGTTCACTATCAGATGTCACTGCGTTACAATTTAACGTTTAATAAAACATTAACTGGTCGATGACACAACATTACACATTAGTCATTGTTACTTCTGTACTATTAGAGGGAAGTTGTATCATTTTACACAGGATTACCAAGATTATTACAACAGATTAATAGAACTTGTTTTAACATGTCTAACAGGATGTACTCATCTGGCCAAACATTTGAACCATTTTTCCTAACAGTCATCAAATTTTGTTCACAGCAGAAGCAATTTTATTTTCTGAAGTATGAGGTCGTATAACACGCAATAATGCGTTTGGTGTTCCTATGCCTGTATGATTACCGCAAACCTTTTAATTACACATTTTTATGGTACGTGTTATTACTCTTTTCTTAAAAGGACTAGTCTAACTGAAAACTCATTACTTCTTTATTACAGTTATTCACAATGCGAATAATACTACTAAGGACGTTTATAATGAGAATAGCATTAAAAATATATGTATCTCAATTACGTGTATCGAGAAAAGAATTTTTCCAACAACCGCCTTCTATTTGAGTCATAAGAACTTGACGAGTGGGAATAGTTACTTAATGACGCACCGAGGCGTTTTATCTCGGAGTCATTTCCGTGGGATGCCACAATATCCTTCAAAGTTGTCAGTACCGTGGCGCTTCGCTCGTTACAAACAAAATTGACATAAAGAACGAAGCAATGATACTTTGTACGGTGCTACTTCTTTCGAATTTATTGTACACGTTTGTTTCTTGCGAATACAAAGATACGGAAACTCTTTGCGCCTCTCAACAGACATGCGGAAAGTGCCTACAGACTCCTCGATGTGTTTGGTGCTCTACCACGGTGATCATCAGATTTAGTATCAATCTTTATAATTACCACCGCTTACATTTGTTTGCTTTCTAATTATTAACTCGCTGATTGTAACACTGCTATTCATTTTTTAATTTAAGCTTTCCATTAGCTTGCTCTACTAATATTAACATAGTTTAAAAGTTTCTATTAATCTTATTATCTTAGTCATTTGATTATATTCAACATGTGGCGCCGGTCACCGGCAACCCCCACAAAATGGCCGACGCGAACATTTCCGAATCCTTGTATTATACCATGGCGTACAAAGAATCACAGTCTTATATAATTGCATAATTAAACATTTTCCCTCTACAGCTGTGTGTTACGATAAAACATATATTTCTGTTTAGAAAAAGCTAAGTCGTACAATGATTATCTTCTTGTTCACTCAGGTGTCCGATCAGAATGCCACTGGTTCTTTGGTTCGTTGCGTCACCAGAGAAAAATTTTTAAAGGAAGGTGATCTTTGGTGTCGGGCTACTGACGTAATAGATGAGGCGAGTTCGATACGCGTACTCGAAAATCGACCGCTATCCTCGAAAACTAGGGTCCCTGTTCAAATTCAACCTCAGAGAATGAAATTAACACTCAGACGAGGAAAGTACTATTCGAAAGTTTCGGACGCGATAGGTTTTTAATACTTTCAATGCGATTAATCTATTAAAAATTCTATTGAATTTATAGGCGAAGAGTATCGTTTTACCCTGCGGTATAGCCAGGCAGAAGATTATCCAGTGGATTTGTATTATCTCATGGATTTATCCGCATCCATGGAATCGTACAGAGATCAATTATCAGAACTAGGACTTCGATTGGCTGAGGCGATGAGGAAGCTCACCTCAAATTTTCGTTTAGGATTCGGTAGTTTTGTCGATAAGGTTGTACTGCCAATGACCAGCACACAGCCAGACAAGTACTTTGAAGCTTTAACCCGAGATTTCAAATTATTTGTAATAGATATTTCATTTAATTTAATTATTTTACAGGTTGAAATCACCGTGCGAGTTGAAAACCAGGAAACCGTGCGCACCGCCGTACGGGTACAAAAATCAGATGCCTCTAACCGAGAACGTTGCTCTGTTCAAAGTAATTGTTCTATTTATCGTAAAAGGAATGTTTCAAAGACCATATAACTCGAATCATATTTCCTCTGCAACAATCTTTTCGTATCTTTACATTATTACGTTCTCAAACGCCGTGCATAACATTGTCAATATATCGATACCAATCGACGACTTTTGAAAACAGAACCGAGTACAAGAGGCGCCAGTGTCCGGCAATCTTGACTCACCGGAGGGTGGTCTGGACGCGATGATGCAGGTCATGATTTGTACTAAGGAAATCGGTTGGCGACAGAACGCTCGACATCTTATCGTCTTCTCTACGGATGCCAGCTTTCACATAGCCGGGAACGGTAGAGTACGTAAAAAAAGTAGCTACACTACCGAAGAATTTCTCTGAAACGGAAACTGTTACGTTTCAGCTAGCGGGGATTATCGAACCCAACGATTGTCTTTGCCACTTGGACAAGGATGGATTTTACTCGTACTCGCTTTATCAAGACTATCCATCCATCGCACAAGTATGTAATTTTTTTATCATTTGATAGATTGATTCGTGAGAAAGTAGGTCGAATTGCGGGTATAATTGAATTAAAATATCGATTTTTAAGATTAATAAGGTAGCGCGAGAGCACAATATGAACATTTTCTTCGCGGTTCCGAGCAAGATGAACGCGACGTATCAGCTGCTAAGCGAAAGCATTAAAGGTTCTTCCATTGGAATGCTCGAGCATGATTCTCAAAACGTAGTCGCATTGGTCAGCGGGGAATACGAGGTATATGTTAATCAATTTGTAAAACTATTAAAACGTTGATTAAAAATAATACGGTTGCCGCTGATCTACGCAGAAACTAGTGAACTCTATAACGATGACAGATGATGCTCCAAAAATGATCGATGTTAAATATTTTTCTCGATGTTTGGAAGAAAACGGCGAGTTGAAGGAACGAAGAGAATGCGGAGGATTACGAGTAGGAAACATCGTTGAATTCGAAGTGGTGTTGCGGGTAATTTTATGTATCGAAGATTCATAATCGTTTAAGTTTGTCGAAACAAACAGGACTCATAAAGTTTAGCATCGCGAAGGGTACTAAATGTTTTTGTCGAACGTAGGCGGTCGAATGTCCAGCGAATTCCAACGAGTGGCAGCATAACATGCAAATAAAACCGAGAGGCATAAACGAGAGTCTGACGATCGACCTGAGCATTATATGTGATTGTCCGTGCGCTCGGCCAGGACATCCGGTAAGAATAATCGAGCGAGCAATGTCTCGTTACGATTAACACGTTCCTCGTTGCATGGGGCGTATACGACCCGTAAAGTATTTTCTTAAGCCGTATAAACATTGATCGTTCATAAGTATTTAGACATATTCCTTTTTTTGTACAATGTATTTCTTGCAGTAGTAGTCAATTTCATCCGGCAATTTATACCGTTTAGATACTTAGTTTCTGGTATGTACACATAGTTACGAGCCGCAGTTATTACGCGATCGTGTACCGAAGTCGGATTTTTTCTCACGTATCGAATGAAAATGTAGGGATACGCGGTTGCTTCGAACGATTGCAAAGGAAATGGCACCCTGATTTGCGGTTTATGCTCCTGCAACGATGGTTTCTACGGGAAGCAGTGCGAATGCGAAGGAAGCCAAGCCGGTGTCGAGAGCGCAGCTGCAACGGTTGATTGTAAACCCAACAATGAGACCAATGAAATTTGTAGCGGTCACGGAGACTGCAAGTGTGGCGTGTGCGATTGCGCGAAGCGTCCAAACCCGCAAGAACTTTTCTACGGGAAATACTGCGAATGCGATAACTTTTCTTGCAAACGGAGCGGTGGACTGGTGAGTGAACGCGTTCGCTGTAAATTCCCGAAACGATTCGAGGAAAGGACAAATTATGCATCTTCGTAGCGCGTTCCATTATTTCGTGCAATATTGTTTTCGCGTTTAAGGTTTGCGGCGGGAGAGGCAAGTGCGAGTGCGGTTCTTGTAATTGCTTGCCAGGATGGGGTGGTGAAACGTGCGACTGCAAAGAGACCAACACTACGTGTATACCAGATAACAGCGAAACCATGGATATTTGCAGTGGACGCGGTGATTGTATCTGTGGTGCATGTATCTGCCACGAGAAGGACAATATTCGATACTCGGGACAATACTGCGAAGAGTGTCCTGTGAGCATTCTACTACTTTTTCACGAAGCAAGTATTATTAAAAATCCTAGCTTCGCTAATTAACTTTTCAGACATGTCCTGGTCAACGGTGCGAAGAACTGAAGAAATGCGTGGAATGCATGGCGTACAATTCTGGACCTTTTGCTGGAAACGGAGAGTGCGATCAGTGTTTGCATCAAATCGATATCGTATGAAAAATTTTATAAATATCATCTGAGTCAGCCAAAATATAGTTTCATTGAAAGTTTTTTAAATTGACGGACAGGTGGAGAAGATCACAGAAGATCCAATAAAAGATCAGGAAAATGGAGCTCACGTTTGTCGAATGGCCGACGATGCAGGATGCACGTTTGCTTTTAAGTATTCATATTATAGGGGTGGTACTGGAGGAGACATCAAGATATTCAAGATTCTTGCTGAGAAAGAAAAAACGTGTCCTAAGCAAGTTAACGTTCTTGGTAAGTGCATCGCGGTAAAAGAAATATGATCGTCCGATGATTCAATATTTGTGCTATAGGTGTTGCTATTGGTCTAGTGGTCAGTACTGTAATTATCGGTTTTGTGATTCTCATCGCTTGGAAAGTGCTAACGACGATTCATGACGCACGAGAATATGCAAAATTCGAACGAGAACGAGCTCTTGCAAAATGGGACATGGGAGGCAATCCATTGTACAAACAGGCTACGTCCACTTTCAGCAATCCAACGTTCAACGACAGCGAAAAGGATTAACTAAGAAATTCTATGTTCATAAGAATTTTCGCGCGTTTGATTTCTAGTCGATTCAAGGATGCGCAACCCGATAGGTAGCGCCACGGTAAAAGAACTGAATCGACGGAGACGCCATATTGGTTAATTGCTTCGCTAGAAGACGTCCACTTAAGCAAGAAGAAATCTTCGACATTCCACTTTTTCGGAAAAGATACATTCTTTACGGTTTTTTCTTCTTTCCTACCTCACGAGTGAAACTATTTCCTTTTTTCTCTTTTCTTCCTCATTTATCCCAACGAATCTCTTACAAACATTTTGAACGATAATCGACGATTGATAAGTGAATTAGAGAAAGCTACATCGATGACGTTTTTCCAAGAGAATCGTCTACCAGGAAGTAAAGCGAACGCGATTAGTAGCGAAAAGACGAAGGTCGATACGCGATCGGTCATAAATCAATTTTAAATTTGATCGCGGGGATTTCGCATGGAGATAGGTCCTGGCCTCTCGGTCGATTGTTTCGAATATCCTCTGGCCTCGTACTTTATTGCTTGCTATGCTCGAACAGGGCAGCCTCGTAAGGAGCTCGTAAATTCGTCACCATAGTCGGCTCCTGCTGCAAACCCTACGGCGATTCGCTATATTTCCCATTCGAAACCTAAAGCTTTGCCCACACTGAATTCGTTCCTACATCTTGATTATTGAACCGTGGTTACTTCTCCCGTGCCTCGTCTACGTACAGAAACGCGTAAAAAAAGACGAGTTTAAAAAATGCCCAAAGTCCTGTTTTCGAAGGCGGTCGTTTGTAACGTGTTTCGAAAGGAAGAGGAAGATAGAGAAGGATCGAATAAAGAAGTATCGCTTTATTACTTAAAACATTGGTGTATTTTAATAATTAATACGACCCAGAGTCGAGTCACGATCGAATCGAGTGCCACACTTTGAGAATCTTTGGATTAGAACTTTGTTTAGTTAGTTTCGAAGATACGGTTTCGCGGGGCAATCGCATGCCTTCGTAGTCGGGCCTTAAAGGATAAGAAAAGCAGTCGGAGGAAGGAGAGAATAGCCGGCGCTCCGCATACTAAATCATTACCGCACGTCCGTTTCTTTACATTGCACAGATTTTATTGATTATTTTACGGCCGGGAACATTGTAAATCTCTTCATCCCGTATCGGCGACCCAGCTCGTTCTGCCGTCGAATGCTCCCACCGGGTGCCTATAGCGCCAATTACGAGAGTCGGACGGTATTGTTGTTGCGTTCGTTCTGATCTGTCAGAGAGCTCTCTGCGCGAACTAACAACTTTTTACGCGCGATAAGCTTTTTGACCATAGACATATTTTTCGCGTACAGCGCGGACTCGAAGGTTAGGTTGTACCACCATGACAGTCGGAAAAGAAGTAGACAGGCGAGTAAAACGAGACGCGTAACAATTGAATTGTTTTTACAGTAGTATAACGAGGGGAGGGTGCGACGAGAGAAATGAAAAAGGATAAGACGAGATCTTTGCGCAATTTGATATACGTGTCGAACGGTACACGGTTCGCTTTTCGCCTCGTGGAACAATGTTGTTCGTTTTCGCGGTCGCTAATGGCCGCCGCCGGTGCCTTAATTACAGCCAAATACGGTCCAATCAGCCCTCGAGGGACGGCGATGTCGGATCGTTTCGAGCTTTTAAACCGTTCGGCATATTGTCGGATTCGAGCCTTTCGACTGCCCCTCTTTTCCTTTCGGTGCATTTGTTGCGGCGTGTCTCGAGCATAGGCGCCGATACGGGGCGTCTTCGTACACGAAGTCGCTCAAGATTCGACACCCCAAACGTATCGCTCGTTTCTGGAAAACGGAATCATCGATTACGACACAGTAGACTTTCTAATTTGCATCGATTGAATTTAAATTTTAATCAGGAATACTCGGGCCTGTTTACGATCTTTATAAATTTATCACCAATTTTCTCACGATAAAGCGAAAATCATCGAACCACTCTGTTCGCGGTTAAGGAGTAACCCGAAATACCGAAGAAGGCGCAGCGGCGCAGTAATACGAGATGTTATCGCGACAGAACAGTTTACTTACAAGTGATTTTGAGAGATCTATAATCGCGAAATAAATTTGAGCGACACCGTTGATGGTGGCGCATCCTGGCTCGACGATCGAAGCTGCTGCACCACCTCTTCGCGTTCAGCGCAGACCGAGGCTCGTTAGTGCGCGCCCGTAAATCAAGCCGCAGGGGTGCCAACCCGCTAATATTGCCGGGGTTCCTTCAGGATAGGAGGAGCACGTTCGCGCCGCCGACGCGCACGGTAAACGTTCGATATATCTCATCGATAATGAGTTTGTTAAATGGATTAATATTCCACTTTCTCTTCTCCTTCCTTCTGCCGTTTAAGGCAATATACAGCCTGGTCGTATAAAACGTTTTTGGAATTTACGTTGACTCGCTGATCTCGGCTTCTCTTTTTCTTATACGTTATAATAGGTTTCACGATCGTTCGAACGAAATCAAACTGTTTCGTGGTACGTTAACGAAAACGGATATTACATGATGTATGGTATTTCGTAAACGAAACGAATAGCATATTGAAAAGTCGTTGTCTAATTATAAGAAATGATTGGCTTTTTGTTGCGTGGCAAAAAATGGCAGCGCAGTTTATAAGCATTTTAGGTGGACGTCTTTCGCGAAACTATCGAGCAAATGTTTTTGTAACCATGTTGTGTAATTTAATGATTAAAAAGTTAAAAGAAGGTGTTATTTACGTTGCTTTCAGGAGGGGCATAGATGGCTAACAAAAGAAGACGAAAAGGCTTGAACGCGTTTAGTATCGATTATCAAGAGTATCGTTTGAATCTTGTGGAATCTAGTGCGCTCCTGGAGGCAGGATAACTCGTATATACAGCAGGATAATTAATGGAGCCGGTAATGAGCTGATTATTATTAATAATATTTAGCCGGGGTTAAGCCGAGGCGACCCCGC